TGCAAACCCTCGTGCGGACTGAAGAAGAAGAAGAAGAAGAAGAAGAGAAAAAAAAAACCGTATTCCGTACGTATGGTTAAGTAAGCCCTCAGTCAGCATTTTCAAAAACAAAAAAAAAAAAATATTTGGCCAACTAATTTCTTTCTAGCTATAGCCAGCCACACGATTTGACAAAAAGGAATTGAAATTTTAACCCACCAAAAAAAAAGAAAAAAAAAAAACTTTACATCCTGGTCGGAGTTAGATGGTACTTGGACCGACAAAAGCTGCACCTTTTCACATGCATCTAATAAGCCCTCTGGTCTTGAATATTACCCAAACAAAGAAGGAGGAGAAAAAAATAATACTACTACTAATAATATTTGTCCTCCAGAAGAAGGAAGAACATGGTTATTGGTCATTATTTATTAACTTATTTATTCTGAGATTGACCTGGAATATTTTGGGTTCGTTCCGGCAGGACAGCTGAGCTCTGTTTTACTGATTCTCTCTTTTTCTAATCCTGTTTTGGGTTTTGGCACTTCGGGGTGTTTAATGTTTTTATTCTGTTACTAGGAGTACGTGCTACATACTATGACGATGAGAATATATATAGTCAAAGTAAAAATTATGAATGCGAATGATTCGAATCTTCTTCATTTCTGGGGTGCATGCATGAATATTTTCCTTTTTCCAGCAATTAATTTGGGGGAGGAAGGGAATGAAACATATTCATTTCCAAATTAATCGCGGTGATGCTGATTGTAGAGTGACCGATTCAATGTGTGTCTACAATGAACCATTAACTTTGTATTTAAATTGCCCCCAATTGGATCGCCTTATTGATTAGCTGTCAGATTTAATTTTAGGGGGGTCTTTTTTTCTGAATCAATTTTGTGTTTATTCTGATTTGATGAGCACTTTGAATTGAACCATGGGTCGAAAGAATGAAACATTGAATGTGCTGCTTAGTTTGGATTGAACCCGTTTAATTAGTGATTCATTTGATAATCAAATCTTAGACCTAATGAACCTTTTGAAACAATTAAGTCCTGACCTAATAACACCGTCCTAAGGACATATGTCGAACTACTGATTGTGGATCATCCACCTTAAAGCTATTTTCTAAATAAAGATTGGAGACATCCCAATATTAGATACAGTTTCGTTGTGCATATACGACAGTCATTATGAAACAGAAAAAAGGACGTAATATATCAATAAGTACTTGGTCTGAGTGGTAAAAAAATTAGTTTAATTATGATCCGGGTTCGAACTCGGTCATGAGCATGCATCAGTCATTAAAATACTTGTTGACAGAGTTTTGCTTCTCGAAAGATATTTACTTAGCTCGAATCCGGATTAGTTGGAACAATAATTTCAGATACCGAGTGTTTAATAAAAAAAAGACGTAATATTCAATTATGCTGATAGAACAACACCTAGAAAAAGTGAACTCAAATTAAAATGGCGAATGGCCCGTGAAATGTGAAAGAATCTGAGATTAGTGCAATGAACAAAGCAAGTACTCGGACTCTCGGAGTACTAATAATATAATGAAAACAGCGGAGGCCGCCGATCAACTTAACCTGCGTGTGTACTTCACCTGAAATATAATAATGTCCGAATGCTTCCATAATTCAAGGCATGTGAGAAAACTCCGCCTTTTGCGGCTTAGTGACTTAATAAAGTTGTTAATTATTATGATGATATTTCTTTACTATTTACTGCCGAAATCAGAAAAATAATTTAACCATTCAATGCCAATTCAACCAATCCACTATTAACCAAACAACAAAGAGTTACATACAATATCATTATACGAAATTTACAGTGTCGACGATGATTCATGGAGCTTTTCTGACTACAGTAAAAAATCGAAAAGGTTTTTGGAAAGAAGAAAACCCTATAAAGATAATAGTAGAAGATTTGGAGCAGCATTATTGCTACAAGCAATAAATTTGTCCTTGTGGATGATCCCAATTAATTTTGAGGTTAAAACTGAAAAGTACACTTCTTTTTTTTTTTTCTAAATGGGAGATGATGATGAAGGAATCTTTTGTGGAAGGAGAGGAATGGAAGTCATACCAAAAGCGAAATGTAAAAACTCACGGAGAGTAATTAATTAGTTGAGTCAATTATTCAGTTTTGGTCCTTTGGGGTACATAATAGTAATTAGGGCTTTATCATTACCCTAAATAGTAAACTAGACCAAAAAAAAAGAAGGAGAACTATAAATATAGAATGTGGATGACAAAATATCAACGTCATTGTTCCAGGAATTATGTGAAATTTATGAGGCCTTAATTTAAAATGGATGAGAAAAAATACTACTCCCTTTGTCCCAAAATTATTGTACAGTTTGAGATTTCACTTTTAGTACAATTTAAACTAAAAATAAAAATTCAAACTAGACAATAATTATAGGACGGAAGGAGTACTACTTGTTGATTTGTGTTTTCGTCCATCTTCTTCTTATTGCCTAATTCTGGAAAAAACGAAAACAACACTGTTAAGAAACAATGAACTAGGGCCGCGACAAATCGAAAAAATGCTATCATTTTCAAATCATGGATCAATCGAGAGAGATTTTACCCTTGATTTTGGCTCCATGATTGCTGGTTTCTTTTGGCTTTTGGGCATATCTATGGTTCTGGCCGTTGTAAAATTCCCCATAAAAGTCACCACTTCCAATTGGGAACAATCGACAGCTTGAGAAATTGGCCTTTTTTTTTTAACCTTCACAGCCAACATGGTGAAGGATTGAGTAGATAAGCAAGAAACTCTCTTATTTTGGTAACAAGACCAAAAAAAAAAGGAAGACAAAATTAAATAAGGGGGCAAGACCATTATTTTCGAGTCCAAGTATCCTTCATAAGTGATTCACAAAAATCATTACATTTATTTCTAAAAAACAAAATAGTTCTAATTATCATTTCAATTTTAGGGTGATCTTTTTTTTGTCTCGTAAACTTTTTTTTTTCTTTCTAAAATTACGTGGTCTTTGGGTTTCATTTGATTAATAATATCTTTTTGTCCTAGATAAGACTAATCCTTCCCCCGTTATGTTTCGCTTTATTAAAATAACACAATAAATTAAACTAGTATTGTTAAATATGTGAAATTTTACATTTATCTTTGTATTTAACTTTGTTTGTTCTATTCTAATTATTCGGCTATATATTTCTATATATATTGAATTGAAAAGAAAAAAAGTTCCGAAGAAAGTATATTGCTGAAAATGACGATCCTCGTCCATTAACATTGCTTATTGGCATATACCTATATCTATTTATATATATATATATAGATATATATATATATATATATAAGATTGGTAAATGTATAAGGAAAATCATATGTATAATGACAAATATACAACGAAAATAAACAGTGACTGAATTTATCCTTATTTTATTAGCATTTTATCGTAAAAATTATATCTTTTCTTTCGAAAATTACACTTTTGCTCTTAATGTGTGTGTCGTTATAAATTTCCGCTGGTTCTACTATTGTTGTAAAAATAATTAAAGTGTATCATAATGTTACAAAGAAGTTTTACAAGTGAGAAAAAGGAATGGAAATTGAAAAGGAGAGGACTAAAATTGACAAACAGAAGAGAACAATGATCAACAATGTCTTCATAGAGCGAAACACGGCTTAATTAAAATTTCAGTAATCATTAAAACTTAAACATCATGATTAATCTTTCCAATTATCATTCTAAATCTTAATGTCGGCGTATTTCTGTACATTTACTATTACCCCGACATAAAACAGACACGTAACACAATTATTTATTTTTACCATTTATTGATAGTTAATTACTTAATAGTTATTTTGTTTTTAATTTTTGAAGCATCAAATTGTTAATATTTCCTTCCATCTAGGAAGAATATGTTTCAATTGCTGAACTAAAAGTAATTTAATAAGTTAAATCATTTCTTTTCGAATCCAAATGATTTTTTTTTTTCAATACGGGAAATTTGTCCCTACTAATTTAAATTTGAGCCGAATAAATCTTTTTGTCCGAAACAATTATTAGATTATAATTTCATTAAACATTTCTTTGTTTGTGCAGAAACTGAACTACAAAGTACAGCCTGCCCATTTTCACATACAAAAAGAACAAGAAAACACTATAAAGCAAGCCCGCTTTGTTTGGCGTCAAAATTTCCGGCGAGTTTGAAGATTCCCTCTCCACCAACGTGATCTGGGACTGCTCCGCCCTGATCCTGGATTCCCGCGCCACCGACAACGTCTTGTTCCTCCTTCCAAATTTTTATTATTCTTTTTCAATCTTTATATTGGGACATGCTTCCATAAGGTTCAGCTTTCTATATTTGGATAATTTTCATTATCCCCCGGCCACTGTTTGTTTGCCGGCGGTTGGAATCCGAAAGATAGGCTCTAAAAGGGTTTTCTTTACTCTTTAGTTTAAGTTTGGGTTTGACTTCGTATTGACAAATTGACAGCTCCATTCGGGTTGGGTTGGTGGGCAGAGTTTTTTTCCAGCTGAAGAAAGTTTGGAACTTTATTGGAAGAAAAGTGAAGGAGTTTTTTTGTGTGAAAGTTAAGGTAGAAAAGGATAGAAAGATTCAATATTGGAGGATATAGATTAGGTTGTCAAAGAAAGAAATTCTGTTAGCCATTTAATTTTTTTTTGGCCAAGTGGGAGTTTGTTAGTTGTCGTTGCAGAGTTGGATGTTAATGTTGTAGCAGAGGGAAAGAATTCTCTCTGTTTTTTCCTTTTTATTTCTGGAGAGCTGTTGGAGATAAAGTTTTTTTGGGTATTTACTTGTGTAAATTCCCTGGTTGAATTGGAGGGATTCTTTCTTCCTATTGGCAACTGTCAAATTCCTGGTGGACAAATGGCAGCTTAAATCGTCTTATTGGTGGAGGTTTTGTTGAACATTTGGGAAGTTCTTCTATGTAAATTGCCGTTCTTCTTAGCACATTAGCTAAACAATGAAGGCTCCATCAAATGGCTATCTTGCAAATGGAGAAGGTTGGCTATCTTTCACTTGCTTTTTCCTTCTGGATTTCAGTTCTTTCCCTGGGGTAGTGGTGGTTTATCGCCTCCATCATTGTTTCTTCTTTTAATTTTGAGAAATTATTTGCGTCCAATTATTTTCAGCCAGTGTTTGGCTTTGGGATAGCATATTACAATCTGGTTTTCTTTTGTAAATTTTCGGGATTGTGGGGAAAGAGACTTTAAACATTCCCTATGCACTCTCTCCTGTCTTCTAGCAAAGTATATATTGTGTCTGTCTTGATTCATCAATTTTGAAGCTTGGAACAGTGAATAAAAGAACTGGAATAAACGGCATGGGTAGTGGTGTGAAATTAGCCCAGAGCATAAGGCATGGTGGAATTCTTGATTTTCATTTTTTTTTTCCTTTTGATATTGGAATGATTAGACGACAGATCTGGCTACCATATTTCTCCATTTAAAGTGTCTTTTCTGATGATTTATGTTTTCATCGTCTGAATTTTGCTTGAGCCTGATTCTATCTTTCTTCAGTATATAATTTCTTCCTTGTTTCCTGGAGTTGGTCAGATTAGAAATGAATCTTGGAGAAAAACCAAGAATATTTGGCTTAACGAGCTAATCCTCTCCAAGTCTAGTTTTACTTTTCTTGGTGTCCACCCAAGTCCTGTAGTAATTTGGTTTCTGATGTTGCTGTTTGGTGCTTAGCAGGGGAAAGAAAGGCAATACATTCAGAATTATGGCATGCTTGTGCTGGTCCGCTGGTTTCTATGCCTCCTGTTGGAAGCCTTGTGGTTTATTTTCCGCAGGGTCATAGCGAGCAGGTATGCAATATTATTTCTGTATTTGATTAGTAGACATAGTCTGATTCTGATGAGAGTTTCTCTTGTCTCTATATCATTCAGGTTGCAGCATCTATGCAAAAAGACACTGACAGCATACCGAGTTACCCTAACCTGCCCTCTAAGCTCATCTGCTTGCTGCACAATGTTACCTTACATGTATGAGAAGTTTGTTACTTTTAATAGACAGTTGCAAAATCTTTGTAACCTTAGGTTGGATAAGTAGATTCATCGTAAAGATTGAGAAATTGCACCCGCTTTCTGATTGTCAGCCACTCAGAAAGTGCATATTCTCCTTGAATCAATCAGAGTGCCCTAACCAATACCTTATTATTTGCTTGTAGGCTGACCCAGAAACTGATGAGGTTTACGCCCAGATGACTCTTCAACCTGTAAACAAAGTAGGTTAGCCATGTCTTCTAAGACTTCAACAGAGATATTTGAATTCAACATGGTTATGTATCTAAAGAAACATTTGAATTCCTTTTGTCGACAGTATGATCAGGAAGCACTACTTCTATCGGATATGGGCCTCAAGCAGAGCAGACAACCTGCAGAATTCTTCTGCAAAACTCTCACAGCTAGTGATACAAGCACTCACGGAGGTTTCTCAGTACCACGTCGTGCAGCAGAAAAGATATTCCCACCTTTGGTATGTCCAAAAATTTAGCTTTCCTGTGCATAGCTGAATCTCTAGGATGCTTATTGCCCAATTAGTTTGCTAATTATGAAGGTGTTTGATAGGATTTTACAATGCAACCTCCTGCGCAAGAGCTAGTTGCTAGAGATTTGCATGACCAAGCATGGACATTCAGACATATCTATCGAGGTATGTTTCCTTATTGTTTGCTTCGTTTCTGTGCCATTTTCGTTCAACTTATACATTACTAATGATTTGAGAACTTAATTTAGGTCAACCAAAAAGACACCTGTTGACCACAGGCTGGAGTGTCTTTGTCAGCTCTAAAAGACTTGTGGCTGGTGATTCTGTCCTATTCATAAGGTTTGATGAGATTTCTAGATCTTTCTATTTTTTACAATTCCAATACTGTTTTTGTTTCTGAAGTGAGATGATGTCATGCAGAGATGAGAAGTCACAGCTACTGTTGGGTATAAAACGGGCTAATAGACAGCAGCCTGCACTATCCTCGTCAGTCATATCCAGCGACAGCATGCACATAGGAATTTTAGCTGCTGCGGCTCATGCAGCTGCCAATAACAGCCCATTCACCATCTTCTATAATCCAAGGTATAGAAAACTTCCTTTCCTGTTCAAGTTTTAATTTTTTAGTTCCGGTTCAAGATTTATTCTTATGTTATTCATTGGATTTTCACAGGGCTAGTCCGGCTGAATTTGTAATACCTTTTGCCAAATATAATAAGGCCATGTACACCCAAGTTTCTTTGGGTATGAGGTTTAGAATGATGTTTGAGACTGAAGAGTCTGGAGTACGCAGGTATATGGGTACGGTCACTGGTATTTCTGATCTGGATGCTGCACGCTGGAAGGGTTCGCAGTGGAGAAATCTTCAGGTATGCTTGTATTCGTTCTCACTTGCAAGATTGTTGAGTAACTTAGCGCACAATATTTCTGTGATGCATCAATGCTCTAAGCATCTCCGTCTCTAAGTGAGGAATTTAACATAGAAAATGAAAATTTCTCGTAGAATTGCTTAGCGTACTGTAGAATGCTACCCCCCAACCACCCTATATAAATCCAATTCTGGGTTCCTTCACAAAAAGAGAAAACCTGTCTTTAATGGTTTATCCATGCGTCACTGCATCAATTTCAGCCCTATAAACAGAATGTTCGTTTGGTTAATTCTTCCACCACACGGATATTATCTTTTACGAATATAGGACATGTGTCTGCTCTCTGTCTTGGTGCATGATGTGGCCTATAGTTCAACTAGACCTGTGGCTGATCAATAAAGCAGTAAGTATGAAGAATTGATGCCAATTTAGTGCGACCAGACAAATTTAGTTACCTGAAATCAGTGCCTAGTTCTATCACCTTGTGGTCATTCGGAGTTTTTCTAAAATGGCCATTTACTTTTTCAAACTTTCCCAGTACAAGCTTTCGGGTTCATCTCTGTAATTTTGAAAAAGGCAAGCATAATACATGGGCGATGTCCTGATTTAATGATCATATGTTTGACAGGTTGGATGGGATGAGTCAACTGCTGGGGAACGTCCCAATCGAGTTTCCATTTGGGACATTGAGCCTGTTGTGACACCTTTCTACATCTGCCCACCGCCATTTTTCCGACCGAAGTTCCCTAAACATCCAGGCTTTCCAGGTAGAAAATTTTATCACTATCAGGCTTCTTCGCTCTTTCCTTTAGAAATTTCAGAATAGCTGTGTTCTGATTGGGAATTTTCCATTGTTAAACGAATTGAAAATGAGGATGCTTGCTTTACCCTTCTAAGAGTGGGTTGAAAGATCAAATTTCAAACAATAGAAGTAATCTTCTGCCATTGAAGTAGAACATATTACCAAGTTAAAGATTTTGCTGAAAGAACAAATCATTAGTAAAAAGCTCAAACTTCCACATCTTCCTCTGATCCCCTTTTTGATGGGCATGCTTTTTGCAGATGATGAAACTGACATGGACAGTATATTTAAAAGAGGCATGCCGTGGCTTGGAGAGGATCTTGGGTTAAAAGATGCTGCTAGCTCAGTCTTACCTGGCTTTAGTTTGGTCCAGTGGATGAACATGCAGCAGAATAACCAATTATCTGCTGCTCAGTCTGGAATTCTAGCTGGTGCATTGCATGGTAGTTTGAACACAGAAGACCATTCGAAGCTTTTGAACTTTCAAAATCCTGCATTTTCCGCTACAAATCTCCAATTTGGCAAAGCAACCCAGCTGAATCAACAAGCTAATCAACTCCAGCAGGCATCTTTGGCTGGGCCCCAACAGCAGCAGCTGCAGCACATGCTGCATTCTCCTGCAAACTCCCAGCAGCAACAACATGCACTTCAGCTTCGTCAGCAAGCGCAACAACCATTACAGCAGCAACAATGTACCCCACAACTGCTCCAACAGCAACAACATCAACAACAAATTATGCAGTTGGCTTCTGTCAATGGTGGTGGTAGTGCAACAAGTATCCAAATGCCAAATCAGAGTTTACAGCAGCCATCAGTGTACCCTCAGCATCAACAGCAGATTCTAACAGGAAATATGCAAACACAACAGACTCCCGTAGCTAATAGAAGTTCATTGCCTCTAACATCATTACCTCAAGATCTGCAGTTGCAGCAACAACTTGAAAACCAGACTAATCTGTTGCAGAAGACCCACCAACAGCAAACACAGTTACAACAAGCTCCTTTGCAGTTGCTGCAGCAAAGTTTAATGCAGAGATCGCAAGTACAACCAACATCGCAACAAAACTTCTCTGAACAGCATCTGCAGCTACAGCTGCTTCAAAAATTGCAGCAGCAGCAGCAGCAGCAGCAGATGCTATCCCCAGTGAGCAACCATCTAGATCCTCAGCTGCCTCAACAACAGCAGCAGCCTCAACAAATGCGGCAGTATCAACCTCCTTCTTTGTCCCAACCACAGCCCAGTGGTAACAGCTTGTCGACTTCGACAATTCTGCAGTCACCACAATTTCCTGTCAACCAACTCCAAGGACAGATTAAATCACCTGTTGTCTTCAAAGCCCATTCTGGACCAACAGATGGTGATGCTCCATCATGTTCAACCTCACCTTCGACAAATAATTGCCAGGTTTCTCCATCAAAGTTCGTAATTAGGAACCAACACACGTCAGTCACTCAGGCAGGAGAATCAGTCATTGATCCTTCACCTGTTCTTTTTAATGATCTTCAGAGCAATCGAATAAAACATGATTCATCCAGCTCAAAGCCAGCAGAGCAAGCTAGATTTAGAACTAATACTGATCAGTTGGATGCAGCGTCGTCTGCTACATCATACTGTTTGGATCCAAGCAGCATTCATCAGAATTTTTCTCTGCCTGGCTTATGTTTAGATAGTGATGTCCAATCCCATTCCAGGGCTACTCTACCTTTCACTTCAACTGTCGACTCATTAGCACCAGATGCTTTGCTTTCAAGAGGTTATGACTCTGGAAAAGACATCCCTAACGTACTTTCCAACTTTGGTGGTACTTCGAGGGATATTGAGACAGAACTATCTGCTGCTGGCTTTGGAGTTCCAAGCATGTCTTTTAAACCAGGCTGCTCAAATGATGTGCCTATTACCGACGCTGGTGTTCTAAATGGTGGACTGTGGTCTAATCAATCTCAGCGCATGAGAACGTACACTAAGGTAATCTTTTATCTTTAACTGCTACTCCCCCTTACCCGCTACTATGAAAAAAATAAAATAAAACAAATAATTATCTCAGAAAACAACTTACTAATTAATACTGATTGATGATTCTAAAGGTTCAAAAGCGCGGGTCTGTGGGAAGAACCATCGATGTCACGCGCTACAAGGGATATGATGAGCTCAGGAATGATCTAGCACGTATGTTTGGAATCGAGGGACAATTAGAAGATCCACAGAGAACTGATTGGAAACTTGTGTATGTCGACCATGAAAATGACATCTTGCTAGTTGGCGATGACCCATGGGAGTAAGTTTTAATCATGAAACGGACTTGAGCTCCATAGTATTTTTGTGATTCAACTGTGCTTATAGATAAAAACCTTTTCAGGGAATTTGTGAGCTGTGTCCAGAGCATTAAGATACTTTCCTCAGCTGAGGTACAGCAAATGAGTCTGGACGGAGATCTCGGTAGTCTTCCTGTTCCAAATCAAGCATGCAGTGGGACGGATAGTGGTAATGCATGGAGAGGACCCTATGAAGATCAGTCTGCTGCATCATTCAACCGATGACAGCATTCTTTTTCCGGATCATCAGCTCCAACATTCTCTAATCTAACTGATCAAGACTACAGAAAGCTTCTTTCATGATCCTTGAGGAGTGAACTCTGTACGTTGATACCTCACTAAACTTGTTCTGTGGGTGCTGGCTCGCGGTCATTAGCATTGTAACTGGTGCCGCTAACTGAAGCAAACTTATTTTACTCCTTTGCATTGTAAAGTTGACCCTAGAAAAGAGCAGATTATGTAAATCTTTTTCTTCTAGTCAATTGGAATAGTTGACATAGGTGTTCCAATCTGTTCATAAGTTCAGCTACTGTAGCCAGTCTCATTCTACGAGATTTCCCAGGATAGCACGTATCAATTTTATCCGAAGCTTACTAACACTACGATTTTTGGTCTTGAGAATTAAGGAAAGTTTATGGCATCCGAGCTTATGATCTTGTTCCTTCTTTCATGGAATTGTGGCGACATTTCTTCCTGACAAAATCCATGATTAATTTGATTTATCATAGCATTATTTGGTAAATGAAACCTTAATGTGTTATCAAACTGTCTTTCTGCGTGGACTCCGAAAGCGAATTATCTACAGCATAACCCCCCAAGGAAACATAAAGATCCAAGTTCGTTTATGTTGGATTTTGTTTTTGGCCTCTCCAAATGTACAGAGGAATTCTGTTCGTTCAGATCTGAGATTCCATCAGCATCCATCATTTTCCAATATGATTCTCATACCATTGCACAATACCAGAAAATAGTGTCCATGCAAGAGCAGAATCAATTACAACTAAGAGACATGCACATTTCAGGCAACAATCACTAGCTTGCAAAAATATATTTTGATGCGTTCACATCAATATCCTCAAATCTAAAACTGCATGAAATTTTCCGTATGACACAAAAAATGCCCCCTATAATGACAATAGAGCCAATTAGGACAGAACAGCCATTATGTCAGAGGCCCTCAATGCAATATAGTCCGACCCGTCACTCCCCTTGAAGTCATTGCCAGCATATTTGGAGTACAACACTGTATTTCCGGGGGATACTGAGAGCGGTTTCCTGTTTCCTTCTTCATCAAGAGGACCAGGTCCAACAGCTATCACCTGTAGCGCAAGGAATAAAAAGCAAATGAGGAAAGATTGAAAACATTCCAGGAATCAAAGGTGGACAAGGTGAAAAGAAAAAAATTGGAGGAAAAATAAACCACACGAGCATTAAAAGTTAGAAAATATTTGGAACACGGTTTGAGGGAAGAGAGCAGGTTAAACTATCTGGGGGTTTCAACAGCACTTACGGTGCCAATGGAAGGCTTCTCCTTGGTCGCCTCAGTGAGTAACAAGCCTCCGGCCGTCTTCTCCTCGGCCTCAGCTACCTGGATGACATAGAAAATGGGGGAAATTCGTTATGTCCCCTGAACAGGTTTTACATATTGTGGAATGAAACACCTAGTGGCACTGTTTCGAAAGTTGAGATTTGATATTTCTCATTCATATAATCAAAGTATCTTATGGACAGAACTTAATATGTTGAAGAAGAAGAAGAGACAACTCTTGCATAGTGGCATATTGAAGTCAACCAACTACCAATTCCAGAAAGAAAGAAAGAGAAAGAAAAAACAAACAAAAAGAAGTAATCCAGAGAAAGCAACCGCAGAGCCAAGAGAATAACTCAAACCTTAATTAAGACTCTGTCATTCAAGGGCTTCATGTCCTTCACATCATCTGTATCAAGGAGGCCAACAATGTCATCCTCCTTCAGAATAAGATGGCTGGATCCATCAAACTCAACCTCTGTTCCGGCATACTTGGAATATACAACTTGACTTCCGGTCTGCGTATCAAAAAGAGAATCAATTTCTGATACAATAAAATCAACAGACATGCCATCAGAAAATGTTTAATGAACATATTCACCTTCAAGCTTATGTCGACCTTCGTCTTGCCAATTGTACGTCCCTCTCCAACTGCAACAACCTCACCACCTTGAGGTTTGGTCTGTGCTGTTGTTGGAAGTAAAATACCACCAATGGTCTTCTCTTCAGGTACCTTAATCTTCACCAAAACTCTATCACCCAAAGGCTTCAATGAGGTGTACTGAAATAAAGCCAAAGATCCAGAAAAAGTTAGCAGACCAATCTAGAATATCAAAGCCAGCTAAAATAAAGTACAACTAACCCCTATCCAACTATACTTGATTATCATTCTCCAATCCCTGACTCAAACACCAAAGCTTTAGAGAAATAAAACATTTACTTCATCATATTTCTAAAAGCTAATTCATCAGTGCGCAGGCATCTGTTCACGCAAAAGTTTACTGACTGGTTACACCGAAAGGAGATAGCATAGGCCCTCCATCCCCTCTAATTGAGGATACAAAACACATTGAGAGTGTATGCAAACAGTGCAGCTATGAAGTGCCAACAGCACAATAACAGGGCCTCATTCTAACAAAATCTCAATTTAAACAATACCATAAATAAGCATAAATCATTTTCAATGAACAAATCAACAACAGTTCCTAGCTTAATCGAAAACTATCAAAGGAAAGCAATAACGACAGCTTAATATTAGTTAAAATGTCCAATCTTTATGCAATCTCACAAACTAAATCATAAGCATAAATGTCCTACAGTATCCAGAAATCTCCTATCTTGGCAAATGGTATGGAAAACATAACACAAAAAATTGAACCCACTTATAATCTGTAACGGAAAATAGAGATTCTAATAAGCAAAGAGTATACCTTAGGGGCAACAACAGTGGCAGCCTTAACAACAAGGCCGCGGAATGCCCTTTTTGAAAGGGTAGGAGCAAAAGATAAGGTTTTGACAGAGCTTGAAGAAGAACTCCTAAGCCCATCAAAGGAAACAAAACAATTTGCTGAGATTGAGGATGCTGTGAGCTGGGAAGTTGCCATCTCTGCACATAGAAATCAAAACTTTGAGCTCAAAAAAAACAAAGAAACAGAATCCAACGATACTAATTCCGTTTGCTAAAAATGAAAAATTTAAACTTTAAACATGAAACAGGATGAATTCACATACATATGAATTGCCGGAGGAGAAATCGATGCAGGAGAAAAGAGTTGAAAGATTGGATAGGAGTGAAGTGGGATAGGGGAATGAGGTGAAGAGTATGGAAAGAGTGGATAACAAAACCCTAGAAGCTTCTTTTGAACTAAAACGAAGTCGTGAGAGTTGGAGAGGTTTTTGTACTACTACACAAAACGCACAAGAGAGAGTTCTAGAAATTTTTTGGCCATACTCGATGTATTATTAGCGATTAGCCACAAATTATAAATTAGATTAGTTTTTTTTTTTTTGAAACACAATTAGATTAGTAAATAAATTAGAAAAACCAGCAATTCCTCTATCTTATTTCATAAAATTTTCATGCTAAGTTTTGTTTGTATGGACACCGTATTTGTTTTCGTGTCATTTTGTAACTGTATTTTAAAAATGAATAATACTGAATTTAAATTGTATACTCAATTTTGTAACGAGAATTGTTATTACAAAACAAAGATTAGCATCCAAAACAAAATGTTACTTTTATTTTCAAAATTGCTTTCTCTAAAGTTAGATTTAACATTCTCATTTCTTCATCCTTGTTTTTTCCACATGCCTTCCCCTCTCCCTTCCAATCTACTACTATGATAAGTATCATCTATCTTTTGATCTTGAACTGACCAAGAGAGAGATCATGTGCTATTACCTAACAAAAAAATCTAAATCAGATCCTTTTGATAATTAGATTGCCTCTTGTAAGATTCTTGCAATTTTTTTTTTTTTTTTGCCCTCCTCTTTTTGTGATGGTGATATTTAGCTAGTATGATAACATAATTGGACTTGCAATGGCTGCCATCGGATAGAAAGTCCAACGATGGAGCTATCACCATCAATTTCATTGTCTTTTAATTTTTTTCTTGAGTTGTTTTAGACAAGTATTTTTTAAAGGCGAATTGATGTTGATTAATTTTTACTCAGAGTTGGGTTGTTCATTTATTGCTTAAAGGATAGAATTGTTACTTTATTCCGTAATATAAAAAGAAATTAAAACAAATCGCGCATTAATGAATTGAACATTTGAGGTTCTTATAATGTGTATCATACATAAGTCCTCTGTGTTGTTTTCAAAAAAGAAATCATTACAAGTTCCGAAATTCTAATTTGTTACATTTTATGCCACATTCATTCGCAATTTTGTGTGCCTATAGAGTTATCTTGAAAAAATTTTGTTCACGGTGAAAGGAACAAATCTGTTTAAGTATTAAAATATGCCATTCATCACAAAAAAAAAAAAAAAAACCATTCCTAACTTTGACACTTGCGTTTTGATCTCTATTTATAGAGACAATAATTAATCTGATCCTTTTGCAGTCAATAGGAGGAAATTACATACTATTCCTCCTCCTTAAAATCAATTTATCTAGTCCTATACTCCTATTCCTAAATAATTAACCATAATATATCAAAATTCTGCAGTCTGTAGTGATTCAATAATTTTCGCGTCAAAAAAATGGTAATTTCAATATCTTGACCCATATTGATTGAAGCCCGAGACATTAAACATTTTTCATTTATTTTAACCGATTTGTAATTTTTTTTAATAATTTAAGTGGTTTTTTTTTTTCTCAAAATTTAAAAATTTAAAATTAAGTGGTTTGGTATATGTAGCCAAGAGCCCATAACAAAAACCTCCTTTTAAAGAGCACCAAACGGAAAGCCCAATACAATTATGTTTAGGCATATTTGGATTTTCTTGGTTCTCTTTCTACACTGAATTTAAGAGGCCCATATGACTCGGAACTGCAGAAAAACCAAAAAAACTTCTTGTATTAATCACATCTTAAAATAAAACCAGGTTATGGACCCGTGTGAAAAAAGGACTAATGTTTTTTTTTTTATTCTAAGCAATTTCAAATTATAACTTTAATTAGCCAATCGCAACCAAGTTACAACACAACGAATTTGAAATGTTGAATTATAATTTAGTGTCACTAATATTCACAAAAACTTTTAAAGTGTAACAATAAAAGATCTTTGTATGACATTTTCAAAGGATTCCATGTCTTTCTCCTTCGTTTTGGCTGTTTTCTCTCCATTGCATCACTTGTAGTGGCTGCATAGTTAAAAAAATTGAAATTGTAAATTCTTTAAATTTCATATGATACTTTTATTGTGTTACCAATATTTGGATAAAAGAAATTGGTGCAGAATTTAAGAAATCTTCGGTAGAGAAGTTTTATTTGAGAATAAAAGATTGTGATTTATTAAACTGTTAAAGTAATGAATTTGAGGGTTAAATACATAGTTTTATCTTTTATTATCTTTTTTCTTGGATAAGTGTAACTACCATCCTTTTTTATTTTGTAGGATAAATTAAACCGGACTAAATTCGTTAGATTTAGGTGGGGAGATTTTTTAGGACATTTTGACACTTAGATTTTTGGACAAAAAATAGTTTTTTGCTATAATGGGGGTAGATTTGAAATGTTGAATTATAATTTAGTGTCACTAATATTGACAAAAACTTTTAAACTGTAACAATAAAAGATCTTTGTGTGACATTTTCAAAAGATGTCATGTCTTTCTCCTTCGTTTTGGCTGTTTTCTCTCCATTGCATCACTTGTAGTGACTACACAGTTAAAAAAAATTGAAATAGTAAAAAATTTTTAAATTTTATACGATCCTTTTATTGTATTACCAATATTTGGATGAAAGAAATTGGTGCAGAATTTAAAAAATCTTCGGTAGAGAAGTTTTATTTGAGAATAAGAGATTGTGGTTTATTTAACTGTTAAAGTAATGGATTTGAGGGTTAAATACATAGTTTTTTCTTTTGTTATCTTTTTTTTTTTGGGATAAGTGTAACTACTATCCTTTTTTGTTTTGTAGGATAAATTAAACCGGACTAAATTCTTTAGATTTGGGTGGGAAGATTTTTTAAGACATTTTGACATTTGGATTTTTGGACAAAAAATGGTTTTTTTTGCTATAATGGGGTTATAGATAGATTTGATCAGTCAATTATTAATCTACTCAATGTTGGATGCATCAAAATTATTATTATTTTTTTTTTCATATAGCACTTTCGAAAATATAATAATGTCATTGACTCGTGCCACATTCTTTATCACTATACTTTCATTATATTGAAAAGAAAATGTTAAAACCTGAAATAAATAGTTTTGCGAATAAGTTATTCCCTTTGATTCACATTTTTTCTTTTTTTCGGAGTATACATGCAATGGTACCGAATTCTGGCTGTATATTAGTACGTTTTTGTTCGGTTTGGCCGTATAAGATTCAAAAAATTATGATATAATGGGCGAATTCATGTTACTTTTTATAAGAGCCACTCATGCTTCTAGCGTTAATGTTGTCAATAGTTTATTGGTATAGGGGAAAAAACGATCCAACAAAACGAAAAAAATCTGTGAGTATAATTTATATGATTTGAAATGAGATTGTAACCTGCTGATAAAATTCTAAGTTGATCTTCTAGAAATTCAGGGATCGAATCTTATCGGGAGTATATATAATAGGAATGGGTTTTCCAACATTTATAAGTTGGGTCTACTTGGCCAGATTTTATTGTTTCAAAAAGAAAAAAAGAAAAAAAAAACTTATGTGATATTTGACCTCTATGTGGTTCAAAATAAAAATTTAAAAAAAGAATATAATAATTATTTAAGAGTTAAAAAAAGGATTAAAAGGATTTTCTGGTGATATCCACTTAATTAGAAGTTTGAGATTTGGGACCATATGTAGAGTTGAGGGGGGAAAAGAATTGTCGTGTGTTTCTGGAAAATTTGAAGGCTTAAGTGAGAACTCGACTGCCCAGAAATGGTAAAGGAAATTGGGAGAGAATTTTTTATTTATTTATTTTTTTTGAAGGGTAGAAATTGGGAGATTTTAGTAGCTAGTATAGTTGCCAAAACTGGAAAAATCAAACAAATGCATATGTAGTGTATATGTCTGTTGTCACTCTTAGGGAGCGTGTCAGAATTGAGTCTTCTTATCAAACAAAACTGACAACGTAATTCAATATGTCAGCTAATTAATTTCCTTAGTTAAAAATGCGTGTGTGTGGATTGGACGGATTTTGGTTTTCCATGACCACATTCTGTCTGAGAATGAATGAATATTCAAGAATGTTCTTTTGATCAATCGTCTTGGAACATGATTAATCTTGTCAAAAGATACACGAATGTGATGACACCTCGTCCTTGATCACCCCTTTTCATTACCATAACTTTAATGCAGGATATAGTATGTGAAAATGCTCATAAATTGTGAAGTAGTACTCCTCCCTTCTCCCTTCCGGCTGTTATTATAAGGTACTTTAATTTTTCTTATTTTTTATTTATTGTATTTTTTCACTTGAAAATGAAAATTTTAATAATACTTTTATCATAATTGGTTTAATATTTTATTTTCAATTTAGAGTAATACAATAAATAAAATTTAGAAGAAATCAAAATGCATTAGAATAGAAACCTGAGGGAATAATTGATTAAGTACGTTTATTCCATTCTAAAATACGAGTCATTCTTGTTAAATTATTAATACTTATAAGTAAAAAAAAATGGTTATTTTAAAATGGAGAGCGGTTTATCTGTCGCTTTAATATGTGTAGTTATTGCTACATATCATATATGTGTACCACCTGAAAAAATATTACTATCAGGGAGCGACATTATTTAGCTACTAAGTTTAATTGTTAAAGACTGCTTTCTTTCGTATATAATTTAATGTTCACAAAAGTTTATTGCACCAAATCGTCATGAATTAAGTTGTAGTTGAAAGACGATTTAATCAAGTTTCGGTCGCAAACTATATTTGATAAGTATTTTAAGGTCTGCTTGTTCTTATTGTATCAGCAAGATTAATGGGTTCAACGCTTCAACTTGTCTGCTTCCCAAAAAAGTTATAAACTGGCGGAGCCATTTCCTTTATAGTCTCCAAAGATTTTTGAATTTTGTACAAAGAATAGTATAAATATTAGAAATCAATATGATTTATTTATTTTTTTCTAGAGAAAGCAGTGTTACTATAAAAACACGAGATGCACCTTAAAACAAAAGCACGAAGTTTATTTAAGGAAAAAAAGAAAAGCGCGAAGTGAATGTAAATGTAGAATATTTATGGGCACCCTCTATAAAAAGGTACTCACTCTGTCTCAAAATTATTGTCCAATTTGAGATTTTACTTTTAGTATTATTTAAACTAGAAATGAAAATCCAAATTGGACAATAATTATGAGATGGAGGGAGTAACTTCGAAGCAATCAGCATTCGCTTATGATGAACACTGTTGTTTTCCACTCTAACTGTGTATGATTTTATAAGTACAGCAGCATTATTAAAGTAGAATCGAATCCTTTTATTGACCGTGATACAAACAAAAGAGACTATAGACACCACAAAGAGGGCATTGTTTATATCACTACTCTTATTTAAGAATTTATTTACTAATCGGCTCCTTTCATTATACCGAAAAAAAAATAAAATTCTATTAGTCAAAGTAAAACATGATTTTTTTACGGTAAAAAAAAATTGATCTATTATCTTACCACTTGAATGCAACTTCTTTCTATTTCAAAGTGAAAAGTTAGCAAACGCTTTTAAGAAAAAAGTAATACACCTTTGCTACAAGATTAACTACTAATTAATAACAATAAGGAATTACTCAAACTTACTTTTACATTCTCCAAACAAACAACTTATGTTAAGAAGGGATCCAAACACGATTCTGAATACTCTCTTTTGCGCGATGTTCCAGGTTAACATACTCTCAGAAATATCTCTAACAAAAATTTTGTCTTTTTTATTATATCAAAAAATACGTATTTATTTTTGTCCATAAAATAATTATCATATTTAGGGAGAAAGTATGATCAATTAACTTAATTTGTAGATTTTTGTCCAGGCGGTTTTGTAGATTTGAGTAGAATTTTCAGTAGGGGGAGAAGTACGGAAAGAAGTCAAGAACAGGAGGAGTACAATCAGCTGGAAACATCATAGATTCAAACATTTTTCTGGGCAGACTCGAAGCAGATTCCCCACCTTTTGAGTTAAGAGAAGCTCACGCATGACGTAAGCGCCCGCCAATGACGTACACTCACAAGTCAGCATCCTTCCCTACAAGAAACACACTATTAGTCTATCACAGTAGTTGACGTCACTTTTGGACGCGTTTGGCGAAGTTTGATGAAGTTACGCGGGTGTCATTAAATTACGAATTTCTAGATGAAGTATTAACAAACACTTGTGGGGTCTGCAATAATTAATTTCATTATTTTTGATAACTACACAAACTGTTCTTTCCATTTTTTTATTTTTTGTTTTTGCCATCGGCTTCTTTTTAAAGCTCCAAGTTATTATGTTCGAGTATTTTTTAAAATTTTTTTTTAAAAGTGATACTTGATATTAATCAGAATTACCTATACTATTACATCGACATAAATTATAATCATGCTATGCTATGTTCAAGTATTTAATAAGTTGTCATAAACAGTGGCTGAGTTTTTTTGTATCAGAATTAATTATTGACTAAACGTAGGTTAATGACTTTTTCTTGATGATGAATATATTATGTAAGATCTTGGAGTCTTAGTAGATATCTAACTGGATTAACTGGCAATTGAAGTGATGATATTATTTTATTTTCTTTTATCTCAGTCAATGTTTGGATGTAATTTTGGTTCAACTTTGGACTCCACAAACTTTCAGATGCTGAAAGTCAGCATCACTCAGCTCAGCTGACTATGATACTAAGGGGGGGTCAGCATGTAATTTGATTTTCTCAAATTTTAAGCCATAATATTCAACTTTATTGCCCTTTTTTATTCAATTTTTCTTTTTTCCTTCAATAGTATAGTAATTAATTTTTTATGAAACTCTTATTGTTGTATTGTTTACGGAGAAAATATTCGCTGCAACGATATATCATGCCAGCTTATGTAATAAGGTATATGTGGGAGAAGATGTAAATATAAACCATTGTTTAAGACAGAAGGCACTTTTTTTTCAGAATAAATTAAAATTTTCTCATAGTTGCTTCTGTTGATTATCCTTGAAATTTGCTTGATTTGTATCATTCACAACATTATTAAATTGATATAAAATCAAGAATGCTACATTTATTTAATCACGAAAAAACCAATGTATGTTACAAATTAAAATTTGAATGATGAATATGTTATATATACGTAATAAAGTAATTATAAAACGATAAAGTAATATAAATTCAAACAAGTCATACGCAAATGACACGCAAAATAGTGCAAAACTCTTATAGTAAGCAAAAGTCCAAATCTGGTAAAAAAAAAAATCTAAAAAGAGAAGAGCAGAATTAATTCCTTTTTAAACACACACACACACACAAACACAGTGTTAAAAAAAGGCTGAAACCAAAAGACACGAGCCACTTTCCTCGACGTCACCAAAATTAACCACGTGAATGAATGAATTCAAGAATTAATCCATGTTTCCCATTCCTTTAACTCCAAAAAAATAAAATAAAAAATAATAATAATAATAATAATAATAATAATAAAAAAAAGGAAGAAAAAACATCACCGCGTATAAATCATTACAATCGTTTGTCCAATCTTCCCCAGGTGTCAAGTTTTGGGGATTCATCAGTCCAATCAAACACGCCCTTTTGACCCCATCTTTCTTCTTCCTTCCCCCACTTTCTTAATCACTCTCACTCTTCCCTTCCTCTACTTCACTGACTCCCTCCTCATATAAATACACCAAAGCCGCCAATTCCCCTCTCCATTCTGCACCAAAACCAACAAACAAAACTCAATTCTCCTCATCATCATCCAAATTCCAAATTCCAAGTACGGAAAATATCATCATCTATAAAACAAAAAAAAAAGAGATGGTTAAATCGAGATTCCAAAAGCTTCAAGATCAACAAGCAACTTCTTCCAGTACTACCACTACGACGTCGTCGGAGAGGTCTTGCAACAGCGTTGACTCAAGTAGCAGTAGTACTAAGTATAAGGGTGTCCGAAAGCGGAAGTGGGGGAAATATGTGTCCGAGATTAGACTTCCCAACAGCCGTGCTCGGATATGGTTGGGTTCCTACGACACCGCCGAGAAAGCCGCCAAGGCCTTCGACGCCGCCCTTTTCTGCTTGCGTGGCAAGTCCGCCAAATTTAATTTCCCGGATAACCCGCCCGATATAGTCAACGGCCGGTCCATGAGCTCCGCCGAGATTCAAGTCGCCGCTGCCCGGTTTGCTAATTCGGAGCAGCCCGATGATGGAGCCCGGGTGGATCACTTGGCGGTTTCGGATCATTCTTCTTCTTCGACTTCGTCGGAGATTGCAGAATCTCCCTGCCCGTCGGTTTCTGATGGGGTGGTAAACTTGGAGAGCGAATTGCCTGAAATACCCTTGGACACTGCTTTCTTGGATACCTTCTCCACCATGGGTTGGGATGTTCATGAGGGTAACAACGTAAACAGCAACAACCACCACCATCGTCACAACAACAACGACGTCGTTGCCGATTTTGGAATATTCCCTGGATTTGATGATTTTTTTGCCGCACCAATTCCAACCCTTGATTCCTATGGGGAAGAGAATTGCGATGGTTTTTACTCTCAAGATTCTGCTACTCTTTGGAATTTTTGTTAGATTCATTTTTTTATTCTTTTACTTAGCTTGTGGATGGTCCGATTTTTTTAGTATGGTCATCAACTAGCTTGCGATTTCTCTCTTATTATTATTCTTTAAATTCTTCCCTATTCAAATATTCTTTCATTCTTTTTATAGGTTTAAAGCAAAATTAGATTTGATCGAGCAAGGTTTTTAGGGTTTATTACATGTACCGTAATGTGTAAATGTAATATTCTTTTAATCTTTAATTTATTTATTTTTTTCATCTTACTTTTACTCAAATGACTATTCGTATTTATTTCATCCTTAAAAAAAACTGTTTTTATTCAAAAAGCCCAACAAATCCAAACGCGGACATAGACATGTAACAATAGTTAAAATACTTTCTCAGAGTGTTTTTTCTCTCGAAAGAGATTTATCGAGCTCAAATTCAGATTAGTCGGAGCAATAATTTCAAACACCGTGTAACATAGTATTAAAAAAACTCAACAAATGGGACTTTAGGCATAACTATAAACTGGAAATTATGGGCTTATAGTTTACGAGCAGGAAAAAAGTACGGGCTGGCAGTAGCCGCCATGGTGTAATTTACTTCCCTCCAGGAAAGAGGAACTGAGGATTTTTTTATTTTCTTTTTCATCCTCCACATTATTCACATGAGGTTTATGGATGGCGTGAATCTATATAATAAATCCGGATGAACTTATGCGCCGCGGGCCAAGAATGACTCCTATATATGTATGTAATGCAACTTGGATGCTTCTTGAAAAAACTAAACAAAAGCTTGAATTCGGCACGTGGAGAATGATAAAGTACACACATTTGAGTGTTAGTGGGAAAGAATATTTTTATGTGGAAACATTAATTTATCCGAAAGAGTTAAGATTATGATGAGGAAACTGACTCAGCAAAAATGATTCTTCTCTTTATTGGGAGTTCATTCGTTGCTTCTACTGACCTAATTGGTAATACAGTTTAACTTGTAAACGCAAGTTGTTGATGTTCTCTCCTTCGCATATCTCCCTACGTAAACACGGGGGTGGTTGTTTTTTTTTTTGGGAGGGGTTGGTTGCTGAAGGCTTAATTGTTACGCCCTCCGGTCCTTATTATAAATTGTTTTAATAAATATAATCTAGTCAGTTCTTGTAATTAAAAATAAAGTCTAAAAACATATTTTCGTATTTATTTTGTTCTCCTTATTATTATGGAACGTTTTTAAGGTTTTATTTTCAATTAAAACAACATCATAAATTAAATTTAAGATAAATTAATAAGGACCGGAGGGAGTAATATACTACAGAATTTTGAGTTGAGAGATGTTTATTATCACTAGATTTAATGTTCGATTTTGGATAGGGCAATTTATATTTTTCTATTATAAGAAAGAGAAGAGTAAAAAATTGTGAACACAATACCTTAATTATTGATTAATTTGTTGATTAGGTTCATATGAATTTATGTAATTTTATGGTGTTTTGGTGCTTGTTAATTTGTAGAGGAAGTTATAGTAATGTGGACGAATTAGGGCTGAGAAAGATGATACAAATTTGGACACTCAAAAGGAACAAAGAAATTTTGCAGTATGAATTAGGCCTTCTATAATTGAGCTTTTGCAGTATGAAAACCCTTTTTATATTTCCAAATCATTTCATAACATTTTTTCAAACCTGTAATAAGAGTATTTCCATGAACACACACAAATTTATACAAAGGAACAAGGACAACATTAGAAGAGTAATGGTGAATGAGTTTTGATTCTATCTATCTTCGCTTAAGAAACTGTACAGTACAAAGAATTACAGGGAAAAAAATTATAATCGCCCCTATTTAAATTCAGCTACCTCATTTTCTACTAAATTTCCCAAACCAATTTTCTTTCTATGCAGGTATAGTCGTTATGAAGTACTCCCTCTGGTCCTTAATATAAGACATTTTGATTTGTCTTATGTTTCACTTAGTATGCATTTTTAATTGACGAAAAAATCTTTAAAAAATATTGTCACATTCGTTTGCTCTCTTGATTGTTATGAAATATTTTTAAGATTTTTTTGTCAATTAAAAATACATACTAAGTGAAACCTAAGACAAATTAAAATGTCTTATATTAAGGACCGGAGGGAGTACAACCATTCAACTTTGATAGTTTGTTTCGTTCGATTGTTATTGCGAGCGAAGTCTCCGTGATTTGTTCACCGTTAATAAAAACTTAGAAGGGATTTTCAATTTATTCTTTTTTTCCCTTTAAATGGATCAACCCTACTCACTCCTAATGTGCCTCAATCTGTGACTAAATTAAAATAAGGAAAACGTTTTACCAATTAATTAAGCTGCATGCCTAATTGTCATTTGGTAATTAATTCTAGTCTAGATCAATGTCGTCCTACTTATTTTACCTTCAAACAAACTCAATTGCGCAATGAACTACTTTTGTCGCGTGTGGTTGATGGGATTTGTTGGGAAATTCAAAGAGGTAAACTAGTGGTACTATGATTTAGGGGTGGGTTGTTTGATTTGTGCATCTAAGCAGGCTAAGGTTTTGAAAACAAGAAGCCCACTGTTTTAGGTTTCTGCGTGGAAAGCTGCCATTTTGGCCAAATAAATACACCATTTTCTATTGTTTAGTGGAGAAAAAGAAAATCTCAAATTTGGAAGCAATAAAAACATGATAAATCAAAGAACAAAACTGATTAGATGCTCAAATTGCAGACTTGGCTCCAAATTAATTAAACTATGAAAAGGAACCGTATAACAAAATGGTAGAAACGGGTTTGGAGATTTGATTACAAAAAGTTTCACAATGCCATGGTAAACCTCATATGTATTATCCCGACAGATTACAAGCCTTTATATTATCCCGACAGAATAGGTTACAGAGGTCCCATGGATGAGCATTCGCTGATGTTCATCCTCGCAGTACCCAGCCTATCAATGGAACACGAGGAATTTTGAAGCGTATTACAGCATAATCATACCTCGGTAACGAATTGTTGGGTCCCGTAGCTTGAAGAATCAGCCACAGTCTTAACTGCTAACTCCTTTCCATCTTTCATTTTTTCCATAATATACTCGTCCATTTGAGATCCCTCATTGTTGCTTCTTCGATTTCACTGAGGGGGATATAGCGCACTACTCCTTCATCCATTAGAGATCCCCCATTTAGCGGTTGAATAATTTGTCAATGGTTTTGTGCTGGTTTGCAATGAACTAGTAGCTCCTGCTGCTAAAGAACAATCAGTAGCATAAAATACATTCAGGAGAAAGTGGTAATGGATTAATGGCAGGCACGACATACCTTTATCTATGTCGTTGAATTTCTTGTAACGTTTCTTTGTTCTGTTATACTGAAATACGAGTATGCTTTCCATAAATAGGACAAAAAGAAATGTAACCATTCCAACTGATGAAATTCCCAGTATCAATTTATAATGCTTTTTTTTTTTTTTGTAATGCTTCTTAGATGAGCATTTATCTATCGCAAACAATGAAATAAAGGTACAATAAGTAGCCAACACAGTGAAATGACCAAGCAGTAAGTTTTGGCATATCATGCGAAATTGAACGATGTGCGTCGACGTATGTCTATGTCTAAGTATGCCCACTAAACTTCATGAAGGTTCGAATGGATTTCCAATGTTTCAAGACAGACAAAAACGTACTAGATGCAAGGGGAAAGAAAAAAACACACCAGTCAGAATAGAAATGCATACATTAAAATGTAACAAACCATACTCACCTAAATATGACTTTTCCGGTTAACAGTTGTGGAGGTATTTCGCCACTCAATGAATTGTTCTGTACATATCTGCAACAAACAATACAATAACAAAATGATTCCCGTTTCACAATGTTGATCTGCCATTTTCAAACTATATAATTTACGTATGAGATGGTGACAAATACTTTAAGATCTCCAATTGTTGTGGATCAGATGAATGCATACATTTCTTGGCAAACTGTCTATGTAGGGGGGTAGCAGAGAAGTCAGTTTGGTATATTCCAAATGGCCTGCATGATTTCCCAAGAGCATATACAACGGTCAGCAACTTGTTAATTACAGCACAAATAGAAAACAGCTTCCAAATTAAGCAATGCAACTTACAAGATTTTAAGATTGACGAGATTACTCATGTCAGGGATCGGACTTGTGAGAAAGTTTCCATTTAACCAGCTAAAGTAAATGAAAATAAGAGATGGAACAGTCAAGATGACAAAACACGAAGTTCAAGTGAGTCAATATTTTTCAGTGCTCATTACTTACAACTATGTCAATCCCTTCATGTTTTGAGCTCTGCTGGGATTTCACCCTGCACATTCTAACCTGAAAGAACACTGTTCAGAAAGCACCAGATTACATATAATTTTCTATATTACACAGATGATAACTATCTACTCGCGGCTCACTCTCCCAATTTTGCTGAGCTAGTTCTCTATAATAACTCAAAAGAATTATATTCCGTTTGAGATTTCAGTCAACTTAGAACTTTGTAATTCTCAGCGGTATTGTATCTCTGCAGATAACCCATTCCCAGGGAGCAGGTGAACATGGATCACCTTGTTCTTGCACCCAATCACTCCCCAAGGACATAGATTTAATGGCATCAAGGGTGCTCACTGCAATCAGGAACAATAAATCAATCGTCTGAGTTTAATAATCCCTAATGAAAAAAATCCATAAACGAATACTTTTACCTACAGAGGGATTACTATCTTACCATCTTTGCAATCTGTATTTGCAGCTATCCGTGCATATTTGCTTATCTCAATGGCATTAAAAAGCAGCTCTCGAGAAGATCCCCTGGTTTCCACAAAGGAGAACAACAGCACCAAATTAAATGAAACATTCATATAACTTGGGCTCATATAGCGTGTAACTTCCATTAGCATTATCAGCTACATTCACAACTGCATTGCTGTAATCAGTGGTAGGCTGTTCCATTTTAAATTTTCTTGTTTCGTTAGCAGGCAGATCTTCAATCACAGCAAAATATGCATAAACTCGGGTATTAGCCGGGAAATCCTTGAAATTCAACCTGTAAGTGAGCCTCCCTTTTGTGCCAACAACTGCTGTTTACATTGCTCTTACCGGAGGGAGCTACCTTGTGTTTGTACATGTATACTTGGTTATGTTGATTGTTTCTGTGCCAGGACACACCCCCCTACAAGATAATTTGGTCATTTCCTTGATCAGAACTCCAAATTCGATCATACGGATCATCTGGATGCCTAACACAAGCATTTATCTGTTTGTCATATAAAAAGGGTAACTATAGAGGGGCCAATGCAGCCAGCATTCCCATTTCCATCTACATAATAAAGATAATTTTTCTACATTGTCCAATGCCGATGAATTTCGGGGTTGGCATGTAAAATCTATATCCTGTTAAGATCCTGTTAAGTATTCTTACTCTACTACTCTAAGAGCATAAATTCGTATCAGTAGCTCTTTGTTGATGCAGAACAAAATCAAATCACCAAAAGGTTACTTCCCAATCTTCTGTGCATGTAATCAGCCCAAAAGGTTAAGCATTCCCACTTTTCTTTATTAATCTCTGAAAGACTTGATCAAATAAGACATCATTAGTATACAGTTGCTTGATGCCAATAACTTGTGCATAACAATTTATCATCCCTAAAGGTTAAAGATCCCTACTTAACTCTATCCTGGAGATTTTCCAATGTCAAATTCACACTCCAGATGGTTAAAGATTCCTACTTTATTTCAATTCCTTATCTAATAACACAATTTACATCACCCTCGGCTGCAAGCTTCATGACCCTTATGATGCTTTTTTTCCCCACACACACACACACACACACACACACACACACATATATATATATATATATATTCTTGAAAAGGAATTGAGTAATGGCATTGGCAGCAAGCTAACAAAGGGGAATAAACATACCTGAAACTTAGCACGAGAATTGGTGGAACTGAACATGCAAACAATACAATGAAGACTTCTCTATGGATTCTCATTTCCATATTCCTTCATCAACCCAAAATGGATTTTCCCGCGGTTTTCCTCATGAGTGTTAATCCAATCCCACGTGTCACCTTCATCTTAACAACAACCTTAGGCAGGACACTTGTCCCTTCCTTGTCTCTCTTCTTCCTTAACCAAGGGCTGCTCACCTCACCACGTGTCTTTCCACTCCCTCATGTCTTCTACACAGAAATGTAAAAGCATCCTTCTTCATCAGTCAAAAAAGACCACACAGCCACGCGTCACACTTTGCAACTATCCACGTGTTCAAGCCTGGTCAATATAAATCCTCGCCCCCGCCGAACCAGAGATTCCCTGAACAAAAAAATAATCTTAGTATATTCAGTTGTTATCAGAGACTAATGGTGAGACCTCAATCCAACATTGAAAATGGGTCTGGCAATGAAGATTTTATTCCGACGACGAGCAAACGGCGGTTTAAAGGTGTTAGGAGGAGGAAATGGGGAAAATGGGTGGCCGAGGTCAGGCAACCGAATAGCCGGGATCGAATTTGGTTAGGCTCTTACGACACTGCGGAAGAAGCTGCCAGAGCTTACGATGCCGCCGCGTTTTGCTTACGTGGTCCGTCTACTATGCTCAATTTTCCGAATGACCCGCCGGTGATTCAAATTCCAGGTGGATTGTCAGCTCCGCAAATTCAAGTCGAAGCATCCAAGCACGCCCGAAGGGCAGTCGATTCCGGTCATGATCACACATCGTCTGCTCCTAATTTTGAGGATTTCGAATTGAAGCCGCGGATTAATGGAGCTAAGCTGTTGGAAGAATGCTCTGAATTCGGTGGCGAGTTTTCAAGTCAAGGTAGTAGTTACTTGGGGGTGGTGGATGATAATAGTAAAATGATGAAATGTGATGGTAGCAAATGTGATGGTGGCAAAGATAATGTATCTAATGAGGTTTATGCTTTTGATCAAACTCCTCCTATCTTGTGGAGTTTTTAATTTTCTATGGAATCGAATCGTTATAACGTGTTGGTGTAAGGTATGTTGTTGAATTTTGCTCATCCAAGAAGTGTTAGCTTTTTCTTTTTGTAATTTGTTGTAGCATAAGTTTCAATGTGTTGTATATGGTGTTTCATTAGGCCTTTTCCAAGCTTCTCTTTCGGATTCAAAGAAATTCAAATTATTTCTTTTCCTCCATTCTAAATTAGTCCACCTCATTGTAGTAATTGTCTACGTTTTTTTTTGGGGGTTGGATTTTGGTTTGGGACGAAAGGAGTACAAATTATGATCTAACACTGTAGATCAGATACCAAATATTCCCTCCATCCCATAATTATTATGTAGTTTGATATTTCATTTTTAATACAATTTGTTGTATGGGCGGAATTGTTAGCATTATAAGGGCATCCAGAGAGACAATTTCCTCAGGGCCTGGAGTTTGGCTCATTAATCCCAAAGTCCTTTCACGCCACTTTGTGCACGTTTTGGCATTTTGGAAAAGAAATTGATGGGAACATTTTTGTATCCAGAGCATTTATGAAGCAGAAGCTTCACAGGCCTCCCAATATCTATTCCCATTCTGAAGTAACGCCTTCTACTTGAACTAATTTGAACCAGATTACAACTCAGCAGAAGAGCATGATTGCCAGATTACAACTCTCCATGATTGCCAGTTCACACAGAATGAAATAAACAAATACAGTAACTTAGTTCGAGAGTTATTAACTCTCACCTGATGAAGAGTTTCCTGTTCTCCATCCTAACATCTGAAAGAGTTTGAAGAAGGCTAATTGGTAGGGAAATCATGAGCTTTCTATTTCCAGCCTTTCTCAAGTAGACATATCTTAAGACAAGCCATTGATGTTCTCTACACATCCAGAGTCAATTACAACTGCATCACAGTTAAGGTCCAGTCTTGTTAGAAAAACCTGAATTGTAGTTCTCCATTCTTTACTGAAAAGAAAGATCAACAACCCTCTAAATGGTCTGTTTTTCAACAACCCTACTGAGAAAATGAGAAAAACCAGACATTTGTGTGAACAAAAGAACTTGAAATTCTAGATAATATATTACATTAAAATCAATCAATAATTATTTTTTGGAGCCGGTTAACCGTCCAAGCAAATAACTAAAACCGACAATTCTTCAATTTGCCTACCAATAATAAATAACGAATGAAAAAAAAATCACTACACTAGAATCACTAAACTGCCCAAGCCAAAAAAATTAAAAAGGAAAAATCCCTAAAACATTATGAACTGATTCTAATCCATGACATCTAACAAAGTGCTTCGACAACAAGTTTATTTGGGACGTCGGTGCAGTTGGTAGCTCCAAAAACATTTCCAGAAGCAATTACGGAGCATGATTCTTTGCCGACACAGGAGTTTTGGATAGCTGACAACGAGTCGGTCGTGGCTCCGCAGGTTCCCTTTCGGAATGAACCACAGTTGCCTTGTGAATTTCCAAAATGTGCATACTTGATGGCTGAAATAGGTCGACCATGACAAGATAATTCCAAAGTATTATTTTCCGCAACACTGCCACAAACTGAACCGACCACGACTGTTTGGAAATTCACCAATGAAGGATTGCCTCCGAACTCTTCGAATAAAACTAACTCATTGGCGCCATCTTTTAAGAATGATCTTGGGACGTGGTACCTAAATGAGTAAATGGAAATAGTAACTTTTTTTTTTTTTCTTTCAATCAAAATATCAAAAATATTAAAATTTGAATAAAACTTACCATCTTTGAGTCGGTTCCCCACATCCGGATACACACTTGCTATTACTATATTTCCCACGATAATCACAGGCTTCAGTGGAACAGCTACCATCATTCACAGCTAGGTAACTAGGCCAATAACGACCAATACTATTTCCATTTACCCAAGCAAGACCTTTTCCTAATCCTAGCATGTCAACAACTACGGGATCGTTTCCAAGGGGAGCCTTAAAAGTGGTCTTGTACCACGTCATATTTCTGTTCATGGGTAAATTTTGGGTTTGCCATGTGGGCGGTGAATTTTCAGAGCTGTAAAAGTTTTTCTCCAATCCATTCATCCCAATCTTGTAAGACCATGTGTGGGCTGACAGATCTTTTATGATTGTTTCATCACCATTCCTGCCAACTATCTCAACTGGTCCAGGAAGTCCATCAGCCACCAAGTCAAAATATGGGCCGTAGTTCTATAGAAAAATAAAAACAAATACAATCGATTAATTAAAACACACTTAGACCCAAAAAAATAAAACATCAAACATGTAATTACTAATTCATATCAGATAAAGCTAATAAGTGTTCACCTGGAGACCAACTGTGGCACTCAGTAATGTAATTTTATTGGATCCAGGATTTAGATTGACATTCTTTTCAAAACTTTTTTGGAATGTACCATACATAGCCCAATCAGATCCTGAAAAATGTTTCCGAATCAGAGCTACTAACAATCAATGAAAAACACATAAAATGATATATATACATGTTAGTGGACTTACCAAGATATTCTCCATTTACAAAAGCATGCATGATTTGGCCGGTGCCATTCACACGGAGGCTCATATTTTTTGTCCAAATTGGGTCATTCTTGTCAAGATTCAAACTGTTTGCGCCAAAGAGAATTCTTGTTCAATCTCATTAACATAAATAATCAAACTTCTTTCCTATAAAGATAATACTTTGATGTTCAAAAGAGGGGAAAAAAAATAAAATAAAAAAATTACCTGGTCATGTACCAAAGGTAATCAGAAGCATCATTAATAGCTTTTTGATCAATTAGTTGGCTTGCAAATCTTTGTCCTTTTTGTTCCACAACAGTGTCATGAATGTCCTCCGGCATCCACGACCAAACTAGAGAAGCTGGTTCACTTTCTGCTCCATTTGATCTCTTAACCATGATTGAAGTTTGAGTGGTTACCTAAACAAAACAAAAAAAATCAAAATTAATTACGTGAAATTGAATTATTATTAAAAAGTCAACCACAAAAGTATAAATGTGTACCTTTGCAGTATTGTAAGCTTCAGTTTGACAATCAGGAAGTATACTAACAGACCATGCTGGAACAACAAACTGATTTCCTTGAATTGTAATTGTGTTATCTGCTGTGGTGTTCTCATTTACCAAAAAGCAAGCAGAGGTACCATTCAGGGAAAAAATGGTCGCCTGGAAAGATAACACAATTTTATTTCAATTCCTAAAATTAATTTCCTAGTAAAAGTAACCATTTAGGAATTTCGTTAAAGTAAGGCTCATACCGAAGCAGAATTGTCCATGGGCATGTTGGTAACATTGCCGTAAGTGAGAGCTTCTTCAAGTAAATGCAGCATATCATGTAGTTGTTTCAAATGCCCATACTTCGGTTGGTTTAGGTTTCCTAAACAATACATTATACAAACCAAAAACTTGAATTAAAAAGAAATGGTGCGTGTTGTATATCACCACAAATCACTCAATCAGCCAAAAAAAAAAAAAATTTATTATAAATGTCTCTTACCAAACTCATCCAACGGAGCATCATAATCATAAGTTGTAGTAATGTACGGACCACCTGCTACTCTTCCAAAGTTTGTTCCACCATGATACTAATTGTGAACAAAAATAATAATAAATATTTTAATTTAAATAAGAGAGTATTCTTCAGAGGGTATTTTGATATCTGAAAAATATAGCTTGAAATCAAAAAAAAAATTAAAAAAATGACAATAACCATGTAGTAATTCTGAAATGATCCACCAGTTTGAAAAAATCGAGCTACAGCATAAGCAACATCTTCCGCTGTTCTATATGGATCTGAACCTCCCCAACTCTTAAACCTACACCAAAGAATTGAAGTTCGTGAGATTTTTTAGTTAATGTAACCAATTAGTACTGCCATTGTAAACTTACCACCCGGTCCAATTTTCAGTCCACATCTTAGGAGCGTTAGGATTGGTTTGCTCCCATTCGTGACAGTACCAGCCATTGCATGTGCCAATCTGTAATAAAAAAGGATCAAATGTTCATGTAGTAACAAAAATAACAAATCCACCATGGTAGAGGTTTTTCTTTTTTGAAAGTCACGGTTCTTAATTATTTCTTTTATCTACCATTGCTCAAAATTTGGAGGATAATATTATCAAATACTTCCTGTTCCAAAATTATTGTCCAGTTTGAAATTTCACTTTTAATATAATTTGAACTAAAAATGAAAACTAAAATTAGACAATAATTATGAAACGGGGAGAGTATTTGTAGTCGATTACCCACACTGTATAAAGTTTAAAGTAATTTATGGAGTTTAAAGTAGTTTATGGTGAGTGTTTTTTTTTGGGGGGTGGGGGGAGAAAAAAAAAAGAAGTTAACGAATTGAAAAACAATCAAATAATGAGGGGAGTAAATATATTACCACAGATGAAGGAGGATCGGGTTGTTGGCACATAATCCATGGCACTCCAATATCAAGTGAATTGGCCATATTTGCGCACCAATCGACATAGGCTTTACCAGCAGCTCCATATTGTGACATGACATTACCGTATTCGTTCTCAATCTGTCAAAAATTTTGGTTTAATTAGCAACATAGTTAAAAAAATAAAAAAATAAAAAGAAGAGGAACCTTATGAACTTACTAATAATCGTTCTAAACTCATAAACGAATAATGATAAATCCAATACCTGTGCAATGATAATTGGACCACCTTGTGATGCAAATAGATTTTCTTGCTTAGCCATATCCACTATCAAACTTGTAAAATTTTGCATCTCGTTCTATAAAAAAATATAAATGTGAATATATAAAGCGTTAATAGTTCATTATCAAAAAACAAACCCCGATGATAGTGAATAAAAAGAGGAAGAAAATAATGCTTACCATAAAAACATCATTTGCTGTCCGAAGCTCAATGCCAGGCATGTTATGCAACCAAACGGGAAATCCTCTGAGGGGAAATATATATATATTTATAACATGTAAATTGAAAATTACATGTATAAATGTATAAATGAAAGCAAGTGAATAAGTAATGATTTTAAATTATGTACCCATAATTCCATTCAGCACAAACATACGGTCCAATACGAAGTACTGCATAAAGCCCCTCATTCTGAACAGTTTTGAGAAACCTTATAAAATCCAAGTTTCCACTAAAATCATACTGGCGACGAACTGGTTCATGCGCATTCCAGAATATGTATGTCTCAATAGCATCAAGCCCACCTTCTTTAGCTTTCTTGATCAAATCAGGCCACATCTATAAAATGCAATTATAAATTACAAGGGAAATTAGTATATTGATTGACAAAAGTGATTGAAATTACAAATATTAACTCAAGCACACCCCCTAAAAAAAAACAACAACAACAACAACTCTATCCTTCATTCGCTTGAATGATTTTCTTTATCATAAAGCACACTCAAAAAAAAAAAAAGAAAAAGAAAAAGAAACGCAAACAACAAAACAGGTATAAACGCAAGGAACAGAAAAAGGGGACTCAGTTTATGGGTGGTGATATATCAGGATGGTCGGCAGGGTATAAACAAACACCATTACGCCGAACGAGACTTCTTTATATCCATCATCATAGTCCCCAAGAATAAAACAAAAAACAACCACAAGGACACCAAAAAAAAAAAAAACGCATGATCAACAAATGAAGTGAAACTCAAACAAATCAGGTAGGAAACTCAAGCACTAACCAAAAAAAAAAACAATAATATGAAGGAACAATTTTCGAAAACATTTATTTACCTCAGCGGTACTTCGTGGATAATGAATAGAACCAGATAAGAGAATTCTTCTTTGGCTGTCAATAGTAATTGCTCTACCATCATAGGAAACATCGGTCGCAAGTACAAAAGAAAATTTGAAAACAAAGATTAAAGCAAATAAAGTAAGGATGGAATGAGAAGCCATGATGATTAGTAACGAGAGATCAAGGAGATGAAAAGTACGAGTTAATTGCAAAACTCTCTAATGGGTATTTATAAGTCTATTTGTGAAGAAGAGATAAGATAACGTAGTTGGGAGAGAATATTTACTTAGATTAACCAATATTTTTTTTAGATAAAATCTCAACTAATTAATAACATTATCCAAATATAATTGATTTAGCTGTTAGGATTTGATCTAGTTTATGTTAATTCTGATATGTAACTTATTAAAAAATTATCTTGTAACTTCGGACAAATAACTTTATGTAATATAAGGGTAGGCAGTAAACCGTGAATTTCTAACTAGTTCAATGATGAGTTTCTTTTTTCCCCGAGCTAGATAAAATATAAGGTAAAAAAAATTAGTTATGAGAAGCTTGAAATAGTCTGGTTACTCAAGTTTATTTAGAGTTGGTAATTGTTATTCAAATTTCACCCATAATAATCTACCTATTCTAGTCTGGTTACTCAAGTTTATTTAGAGTTGGTAATTGTTACTCAAATTTCACCCATAATAATCTACCTATTCTAGTGCTCCTAGAAAACTACCTGTTTTCCACCCTCGGGTTTTTTTTTTTTTTTTTCCAGAAGTTAGATATCAACAGAATCATTGTTGATATCTAACTTAGGATACTGGTACAAAACAAAAAATTCACCGTATACACAATTTTTCCCTTTATTCATTTTATTTATTTATTTTATCAGAAGTTGTTTTGTACCAGTATACTAAGTGAGGCTAACTTAATTAAGATATGATTATGCTAGTCAAATCTTAGAGAATCTTTTAAGTTATACATCTCCAGTAATTTGGTTGATCATTCAAGTAAATTGTTTACCTTATGTTGGTCCTATAAATATGACACTTTTACAATACCAAGTTGGGACTTTCCACAATAATAAATAAGATAAAGTTAAACAAACTGCAACAGCCTCCTCAAACCTAACTAGATAAGATAGATTGCAAGATTAATTGCAACTTTTTTTTTCGAGGTTTTGTTTGATCTTTGTCCAACATTTTTTTTTTTTTTGAAAGCTTGTCCAACTTAATAGGAACGTGAATCTGTTGTCCGGCTATTATTAATATTCAATCGACTCCTAATTATTCAAAAAAAAAAAGTTGCATATTTCGATCCTCCCATCAAGAACCAGAAAGATATTCCTCTGAAAGCACTTCTCGGATTTGTTTCCAAAGTTTTGCTATCACTATATGGTATTATAAAAGTGTAATCACAAATTAATTTGTTCAGAATTATTTACTCAAAACGATTTGGTCCAGAATTCCTATTTAACAGTTGCTGGAACTTCAACTGGAGGCAAAACATCTTGTTTCCATCTCATTAGATTAGAGCATCAAAAGCATTAGAAGGCAGTTCTGGCTAAGAATATTGATAGAATACTTCTGAGATCAAGGGACAGTCGTGTACAATACAAATCAATTCTTATTCTGGAAAGTTAGAGAGATAATGTTTGAACCCTCCTGACTTCTAAAGGATTTTTTGTTGACTTTGACCCACACAGTGATCCAAACATAATCAGTCAAAGGCTTTCCATAATCCTACCGAAGATCCAAAAGCTCAAAGATGTGCTCGCTGTCACAATTTTTTGAGCTCTCCAAATGAATATATTCGACAAATTTTATGAAGCATTATTTTTATATATGCCATAGTAGAATTTTAATTTCATTGTGTAATTTCAGATGGTTATGAAAAAGTTTCAAAATTAAATTTATATCACACCAACAGTGTTTTGAGATAATTATCAGCGAGTACACTCACTAAAATATATATAGAGCAAAAAAACCCATATCTAACATCATCTATATAAATATTTACCCTTAGTCACACTCTGACGTTAAATGACACATGATTTCCACCTTACATGAAGGCCTGGAGCCTATGGCAGTTTTGGAGTAAGAGTGATTACTTCACCACAAATATCCACCCACCTAATACAAAGTTAAAATTACTAATGCAATGGCTTTTGGTGAGAACTTCATGTCTAAATTGACTCTACCTTCATTCCCATTCACAAAATCAACTAAGATATCTCCCGAAATTGTGAGTCTGTCCGCGTTCAAGCAATTATCCCATAGGCTGTGGTCATCTTTATTCACTCTCCATCTCTTCTGCATCTTCGAGCCGTTGATCATTAATTTGAAGCTGTAGGACTGTATTTGCTAAGTCATGATCCCTATTAGAATGGCCAATTGTGGGAAAGTAAGTTTTGTGAGATCCATTCAGACTCCTCTCCATCTCCACTCTTTTAGTAACCAGGTTATCTGCACATATACCCGATTATGTTCTCCATCTTCCTCGTCAACAGGCTCAAGATTCAACTCAGCACAATCACAGAATATCTCAAATAGCGTATCTAACTGATCAGGGTCTGCTGGGACAAGTCTCATCTCAGTGATCTTTGATAAGTCCAGTGTCTCATTATTTTCAGAATCTGAAGACTCTGATTCATCATCCTCAACACCAGTCTCAATCTTAGTGTAAATGCAAGGTGATGGATAAGCCTCTGGACCGCGAGAAACAACATGAAGAGACACAGACAGGAAATCAACGGCATAGCCCTTTGCTCTGTCAACGTCGCTCACACACCACTTGCTTGCTTGATACCTGTAATTTACATAAAAGGGATCAATTTCATTAATTTTATTTAGGGTATGATTATTTCCAGGTGCTGAAAATTCATGCAAGGCTTTAAATTCTAAATAAAATTTTAAAAAATAAATAATAAAGATGTTAACGGCGTATAACAATTTTCAGGTCTTTTTTTGACTTATTAAAATTGTAATCATATATGTGTTAGATTTCACATAAACTTATTTTTATCATCAATTTTTTCTTTTAACTCTAAATAAACTTCTCCTTATTATTCCTTTCCTCCTCTTTTTCTCTTTTTTAACACCAGTTTTACGGACCGATTCTTGGTGTAATAAATACAAGCTTTCGAATCTTCAAACCTCAATTTCTTGTTAATTATTTTCGTCGACTTGGGTCGAGCTATTGACCACGACTATAAAGTCGACGAACGTCAATTTTGATATTTTTAATATTATTATTCTTAATATTTTTTATCAAGTCAACCACACTAAAAAGTCCTCGCACTTTCTTGTTCACATATAACAAAAGTCGCTAAAATTCAATATATTTTAAAATTTTCCGTCGATCATATGGCCTCGTGATAATGTGCCCGTTAACAAAACTAAAGTTTATATATGTTTATGATATTATTTGGTTGTTTAAGCATCGAAATAAAGAGTTTTTTTTTTTATATTATTTAATCCCAGATTTTTATAACGTCAAGCATATCTGCTTTTTTCCCGCAACAAAATCTGTACATTCTCATCTCTCTCAACTCCTACGCATGGTGTGATTGATGAATCTCTTAAATAACGTATATATGTATCGGATTCTGTATCCAGTATACCCGGGGGCACCGTGTACCCTCTCCTATTTTTTACATTTCTAGTCCTTATTGTACTTTTTTTTATCAATCTTTCTATATTTTGCAAACTTAGTCCATGTTATTTTTTTTCTCTCTTCCATAAAAAACATCTCTAATCTTTCAACGAGCATATCTCCCAATCCGTGAAGAATTTGTGAACGAATTATATATGAAATTTATAGCACTCGTCGAGATCTATCCAACATGATCCATAGTGAATATTTTTCCGGGCTTAAAAATGACTTAATTCTGATAGGCAGAATAAAGGTGGATATCTAGTTTTACAAGATGGATAACCAACTTGTTTTAAATTGATTATCCATTGTGTTCATGTTGATTATCCAATTAGTTTGAACTGGTTATCCATTTGGTTTGTATGTCTATCCAACTTGTTTGTAATGGATATCCCACTTGTGTGAAATGGATATCCAACTCGCTTGTACTGGATATCCATCCATTTGGTTTATATGCTTATCCAACTTGTTTTGTAGTTGTAATCCAACGGGTTTGTATGCATATCCAACTTGTTTGTGCTGGATATCCAACTCGCTAGTACTGGATATCCATCCACTTCATATTGATTATCCAACTTCTTAATTCAAAATAAGTTGGTTATCCATCTTCTTAAACTGGATATCCAATGTGTTCATATTAATTATCCAACTTCTTTGTGGTGGTTATCCAGTATTTTTTTTCCTTGCTCTTTTATGAAAATGATTGTCAAACTTTTTTGTACTGATTATCCAATTATTTTCTATTGATTATTTAAATTGTTTGCAATACTTATCCAATCATTTTTTCTTTCTTTTTTTTTTTTGAAGAGTGAATGTCAAAAATATAATTGGATAACAAGTACAAACAGAATGAATTATCAGTCCAAACCGGTTAGATAATCAGTAGGAACGCAACGGATAACTATTTTTCAAAGAAAAACAAAAAATACATTTCTTTATTTCTGCCCGTAAGATTTAAATGCATTTAAAGTTCAAAAAAAATATTCAACATGGATCTTATCGGATAGATTTCGTCGAGCACTATAAATTTCATGTATAATTCGTATTCTAATTCTTTACGGATCAAGAAATATATGCAATACAAGAATCTTAATCTAAACTAAACTGGTTATCCATCTTTCTAAACTAGATATCCATCTTATTCTGCCCATCAAAATTTAGTCATTTGTAAACTCGAAAAAAATATTCGACATGGATCTTGTTGGATAGATCTCGATGAGTACTATAATTTTCATGTATAACACGTTCTCTAATTTTTTACGGACTGAGAGATATGGTCGTTTAAAGATTAGAGATGTTTTTTAAAGGAGAGAAAAACAAATCAAAGAGATACCTGTAAATTATAAGATGTTATTTAGAAAAGTGGAAAATAGTATAGTAAGGACTAGTAATGTAAAAAATAGGAGGGGGTGTGGTACCCGTGTATACTGGATAAATTGTCTATGTATAGCGCCCTTTCTTTTTTCATTTTAGGAAGAAATATGAATTGGGCCCTTTCTCTTCATTTTAGGTTCACTGTTGGGGTCTTTGTTTTGGACCTTAGAATCAAAGCCCAAATTTCAGTTCAATACAAAGAATTATTAAAAATATGAACATATAAAGTGTAATAATATAACTCGTTTGATAGCTATTATTTCACAAAAAATGGATCAATTTCATTAATTTTTTTTTCAGAGTATGATTATTCTTATATTCTTGTGCATGAGACTATTGGGTACGAATAAGCTCATCATCTTCATTGATGGACTCATTCTGTTACTAGTTTTTTGTTTTTCTTTTATTGAGTCAATTTGTTAATAGTTCTTTATTAATTTTTTTTTATCTTCTTGTATCTTTTGAACAAGAAAAAAAAAAAAGAAAAAACGAAAAAGGCCAAGTCAAAGTTGAGAGTTTGAGAGTTGATATATGTTCCTAGACTTCAAATGAGACATGATACTACTCGTAAATATTTCTTCCTCAATCATTATATGCACTAAAATTATGAAATAATAAAATTAAAAAGGTGGGGTCAATATCATGCCACCTCAAGAAGTCATGATCAAGTGCCTCAATATTATTATTAAATTTAAAGTGAAATACTTGTATAAAATTTGTTAGGAGAACAACTTTATTAAGGATTATGTGCACTGCTTTTTTTTTTTTTTTTTTGACGCTGTCAACGTCTAAATGCCCCAAATTTCTTGCCAACACAAATACATGAAAGAGACTTCTCAAATTTATTAGAATTAATTTCAAACCACGGTGTCAAACTTTAACTCTTTTGCAAAATAACCTCTAGATATTTTAATTTTGTGATTACAAGCTTTCTCACTATTTTCACTCTCTCCTAATATTGACCCTGATTTTCAACTAGAAGAAGGAATCCAAGGAAACTCTATCTAGCTCTTAAAAGTTATTTCAAGATGACTTCGGAAGGAAATGGACAATGAATGTCAAAAAAAAAAAAAAAAATTGGTTTGTCCATCTAATAATGAATCCTTCTTTTATCCATATGCATCTGTTCAAGTACAAAATTATTGTTTACATACCTATCATCAAGACTCTCACAAAATATTTTGCGGGAAAAATAACCATGTTAGTAGTGAGAACATGCATACACGGATGAAAGGTGATATAGATAATCTTGAAATTAAAAAGAAATTAAATTGAAGTTCTTTTTTTAATTAAGTAAAATAAGAAAAAGGAATTAAGTTAAGTAAGAGTACTTGATTGCAATTGACTCGTTTTCGGTGGCCCAAGTAAACGTCCCACAAATGAAAGAAATCAAATGATCGAACACAACTGGTCAATTAGTGTGCTTAATTTCGTGACATGTATAATTTAGACCAAAAATCAAAAAAGAACATCGAGTTTCATTAATATACGGTCTCTAATATTACTAATGTTTTGTTTTTTTTTTCTTGGTTGACTCCTAATTTCTTTCTCTTTGTAGAATTTTTTTTTTTTCGTTTTCTTTGGGATTTCGGAGACTCATATCGAATATAATACTCTCCCCGTCCCATAATTATTGTCTAGTTTGGATTTTCATTTATAGTTCAAATTATACTAAAAGTGAAATCTCAAACTGGACAATAATTTTGGGACAGAAGGAGTATTGCTTATTGTAACGGGAAGAAATAATCGTAATAGAAGGTTGTCATTCATAAAAATCTAACCATCCAGAAAAATGAAAAAAAGAAGTCCCATCATTAGCCCGTTTGATAAAACTTAATTTGGGTCCGAAGTCTGAAATCTGAAAACTGAATTAGAAGTACTAAACTGATTAAGTTTGTCGTGTTTGATAAAAACCAAAATCTAAATATTGAATAAAATGTCTGAAATCTGAAGTTTGAACACTGAAATTTAAAGTATTTCGACTTATGAAACTATGATAATAAAAATAATAATATTATTATTAAATAATATAATAAAAATATTTATTTTATTATGTTATTATTTTTTCAGTTAATAATAATGTCATATTTTATCATTGTCAAAAAAATTCATATTTTATGGTAAATATATATTGATCATGGAATTTAATGGATTTTAATTCTTATATCAAAATAAATATTTATTAAATAAAAAATAATTTACATAAATTTTAATTTAAAACTAGACATCATGATTAATAAAAATATTTCAAGATAAAATATTAAAAGTATAAACATAAAAATAAATAAATAGAAAAAAATCGTCTCAAGAATTCAGTTCAGACATACGTGATAGACCTATCACTTATTTTTAGGCTCACATTTGTACTAGCATTTCAGACCCACTTAATTTATTAAGACATCCTACTTTGAGTTATCAAACGCACTTAAAATTTAAGTCCTTAATACATTAAGTTCTTAATCAATTAAATTGTTATGATATTGTGTTATCAAACAGTATTAATCAATTAAGTACTTAATTAATAAGTTTAAGTACTTAATTGGTTTATCAAACAGAACTAACACAAAATGTTTATCTTGAGAAGTATAGATTAGAATGGAATTGAGAAGAATCGTATCCAGCTTCAAGCCACTCAAGCTTATTGTATAATTTCACTTTTAAACCATGAATTATTTATTAATTTAGTTTTTTTTTTTTTTAAAGGAAGTTCTGATTATAATTTTACACCCTGGAAAATAGCTCTCGACTAAAATTGTGGGTCAAGAGAAAAAACCATTTGTTTCAGACTAAATATGCCTAGGACTTAGGAGTTAGGACTTTGCTAGACATTGGCACATCATGCTGTAGGTTCGATTTTATAATATTGTCAAATCAAGTTGGAGTAAGAAACGACACCTCAAAATCAATAGATAATGTGCAGCATGATTTAACGAACTTATATAACTGGTCTCAAATTCTTTACATGTCATATGCGATGTAGGATTCTTCCCAATATATGTTTATTTTATATTTTGTTGAAGATTTTTTTATACCACCAGTAGCTTGTGAAGATTTACTTTTTGATATACTCCATCCCGTCTTTATTATAAGTCAATTTGATTTTGTCTTAAATTTTACCTAAAATATCTTTTTAATTGATAAAAAGATTTTAAAAATATACTTTTACATTCGTTGTGTTCTTATAACTATTAATAAAAGTTTTTAAGATTTTTATTTTAATTAAAAAATATCTTAAGTGAAATTTAGGACAAATTAAAATATCTTATAATAAGGACCGAAGGGAGTATAACAGTACCGTATAATAAATCAAAATACTTAAGCAGATGTTCCCGTCCGCCCACACTAAAAAAATCCATCTTATTTTCTTCTTCAATTTCGTGTAGCACATATATGTTTTTCATTTTACTCTAGATATTTTTCTTTTTGGTTGTAATCCACTAAACCCTGAAAGTTAGAATTTATTTTTTTTCAGTCAATTCGGATTCGACGCTCCTTATCTTTCTTTTTCTTCTGCATAAAAAGAGCTGGAAATACTATATTATTGTGGTTCTGGATATCAATTCTATGATCGTAAATCCAATCATTATTTGTATTTCTGTATTCAACTACAACAATAAGATAATTATTTTGAGAATAAAGCAAATATAATAATTATTTTAAAACATGAATAATATTTTTGCGAAGTATTTGTTTTTAAGCCACTGAATGAATTGGTTCACCATTTCATCATTTTGCTCATAATAATGGTAATAGACTTGCGTTCTCAATAATACGAAAAATTTTACAGTTCGTAGATAAAGGATCAAATAATAATAATAAGTACTATTATTGAAATAATAATTGAGCAATTATATACTTTCTAGAAGTTGCTATCAGTCCCGTTAACGTGGGCCCACAGTTCTCCGTGGGCTCAACATCATCACCCCAGTTTTCAAACTTACAAACACAGAACAGAGGACACTGAAATGAAAAATCAGTGGGCTCCCAACTTACCTCCCTTAGTGGTCTCACTACTAATAATTATTCTTCCACCAAAATAATATGGAGTATTTCTTTGTCCTAAAATAAAATTCTATTTTGTATTTTTATTTTTAACATAATTTCCATAAAAATCAAATCAGATAATTATTTCGAATGGAATAATAAGCAAAACATTGCGCGTTGTTTTACTCAAAATGGTAATTTGAATCAAGTCTTTAACATGGAACAACCACCTTATATTTCTTAATCTTAATTATTAACTCTTTTACTTATTGAAATTTAACGAAAAGATTCGTTAATATTGTCGAAGAAGACAGTCATGTGTGAAACAAAGTATTTTTTCTGTCTCAGAATTATTATTGAGTTTGAATTCTTTATTTATTTTTATTTATTTTGAGTAATAACTCACAGTAATAGTAATTGTTCTCAGCACGCCAAATGGCCTCAGATTCTCGACACGTGTATCAATCGCATTGTCCCCCGGAATCTTTGGTGCGCCAGGCAACTGTCCACATGGGCCCAATCCGACGCAGACTGGGCCCCGATTATTGGAGATGGACGTCTATTTTTTTAAATAGTAGTGGGCCTACGACAAGTGACGTCTTCATAAACTACGTTCCAAACAATTTCTTTAATAATTATGGAATAAAGTGACACAATTAACATATTTTTTTTCATTTTTTTTTTTAATTTCTACTTTTTCGTCAATCATCAGTTCTATAAACCTCAAAACCAAACCTATGGGCTTTGCTTATTTAGTCTAACAACTCCATCCACCATCTCCTCCATCACTCCATAAAAATAGCTTCTTTTCTCTTCATGTCTCAATTCTTAAAGCTGAATTGATAAAAAAAAAATTCAGTGTTAATTTACAGGAGTTCAGAATTCCCAGCTCCGATTCTGAATTTCCCCTTCAATTTTGTAGTCATGTTGGGGAAAAGAACAACTCCGGTGATCGGAAAATTAACGAATTCTTTCATTTCCGGCAACCGTGCGGGAGGGTTGATGGATGTTGCCACCACAAGCCCGAGGAGCCCTTTAGAGATCAAGATGCAATCACCGAGAGGGTTAAAGAACTATGATCTGGGTGGGGTTGGACTAGGGATTGTAGCCGCCCTGGAAAAATCAGCTCATCATGATCTTAATTCCGGTAGGTTGGGAAGCCGGAATTTGAACCGGTCGAATCCAATTCCGGTTAATTCTGCTAGAACCGTTAGCACTGATCCTAAAGGTCGCCGGAAAGGAGGAGTTGAGGAGGAGGTTGAGATGATGATGGATAGTTTGGAAGATTATACCTTTGTGACTTGCCATGGACCTGGAAATAAGTCCTTCACTAGAGTTTACTATGATGGAGGCTGTCAAGAACATGCCGGAAAAAAGATGGCTGATTTTGAAAGGAAAAGTTCCATTAGCAAACGTCCAAGTATGTTCACTGTATCTTCTCCGGCGAGAATTGGAGATTTCCCATCCATCCCAGATTCTGATTTTCTTAAAACATGTCATCTCTGCCATAAGAAGCTTCAGGGCAAAGACATATATATGTACAGGTACTTGAAATGTCTTTTCGTTTTTGTTCTTCTTACTAATCTTAATAAATACTTTGGAACAACAATTGTTGATGATGTGTTTGTTGATATGATCTGCACAGGGGTGAGAAAGCTTTTTGTAGTTCAGAATGCAGAGACAGTCAGATACTGATGGATGAGCACAAAGAGAAGTGCAGATCAGAAGCTTCGAGGTCAATTGAAGTTTCGCATTCATCATACAAGAATGGTCATGGCCGGATACTTTCACCGGGAATTTTTGCAATTTGAACTAAACCATCTTTGGGGAAAAAAGAAAAAATCATTCATGGTTTAGCATAGACCGATTAATGCAAACCTGTATATACGGAAAAAGCTACATATATATATATATATATGAGAAACAAAGGATCATTTGTGCATCCTTTGGCAAATTTTGATTGTAGTTTGAACTAATAATAATAACAACCTTTTCAAGCTCATTTTTATGGGACTTTTTGGGTTCTACAAATTGATAACAGTTCTCAAATTGAAACTCTTAAGGATCCAGCTGATGATGATTCCATTGGAGGCTGTTATTGGTTTCGAACTTGTGATCAAACAATCACAAAGCTACAATTTTACGATTGTGTACTCTTTAAGGAAGTTTGCAGCTCAAAGCGCAAGTTATGCCATTGTGAATTCTGAACCAGAAAGGCATCTTTCCCACAGAAAGGAAGGTCTTTGCAATCAAATTCTACGCAGTAGAAAGGCAGACAACCATGTAGGTTGTCAAATCAAATGGGGCATAGATAATGCATAAAAATCTTCATCTGTAGATTGTTAAGGATTCTGAAGAAACCACTATCTAAAGTAGCACTAACTTTCTTCCTCATCATTTTCTGATTAAAGGGAAGTGAAGTGAGGTGGGAACTCCAGAGCACTGGAAAAGTAGCTTTTCTCTTGCAAAAACATCATTAGTTGAGGAACAGGAGGAGGAGGAGGAGATTGTTGCAACATATTATATGCCTCCCACTCCACAAAAGCGCTTTCCTCCCGTTCAAACGTTAAATCTTCATTACAAGTGTGTATGATTGCATTTGCCCACTCATTACGAATTATGAGCATTTTGTACTTTTTCAACACTTGATTAGAACAGTGATTTCTTATCAACAAACCCAGAATTACCAATAGCAGCAGCGAGAGTTTCTAAGGTGATATCCCACATTTGTTGGCGAGTTTAACTTCATTGATTTATTCTCCGCTATTACCTCATCTAAAAAACTGGGTTGAACAAACTACATGGACTTCAGGGTAGTAACAACAAGTGCTAATGCATGAGACCATTAGGAGCAAGATTACAGAGATCATTATTCAACAAATAAAAAAAAAAAGCTTGGAAAAAAATCTAAAAAACTTCTACACGTCTCAGTTCAGGGTACACTCATTTTGCTCTTCAGAAACGAGGATATGCCCAATGGACGGGAGTCCAAATGAAGCTTTCATCTCCAAATTACGATACAGGCTACATAAACATACACATTGCTGGAAAATACAGACCCAAAACCAAAAGTAAAATCTAAAGCAAGTGATATACAGAGACACTTTGATCCCTGCCTATGGAGCTGTTGCAGGAGTCTCTCATCGTGTTTATTACTGATAATACATGGGTGGCTGTGCAGCAATACCAGCATATCCACCATCATACATAGCCTGGTTAGCAGCACCAATTCGCTGACCCTGGGGATGCATCAGAGCTTGTGCACCAGCCATTTTACTTAAAGCAAGCTGACGTCCGTAGGCAACAAGATCAGTGGCTGAAAGTGGTGGCATGTGAGCTACAGCTGGTGGGGGAAGAGGGGTAGAACTAGTCCCTGGAGGAGTAGGCTTGCTTCCCCAGGAGCACTGCAACACCAGACACACAGTTAGACTAGCCCATTCATTTGCAACAACAAAAAATACAGTACCAAGGTGCACTAAGCAACTGCAATCACACATATTTCTTTGTAATGTATCCTTGACAAAAAGAATCTGTCTCAAACCTATATGATTTTATTTATTTTTCCACATTAGAAAACAGACCTTTATCGCCTTCCCATAAAAGACCTGGGCATTTCCCAACTGAATAGCCCGAGCTGCTTCAGCATGGGTGCTATATCTAACAAAGCCAAAACCCTTGTCCCGCTGAACACGAACATCGTCGATCACGCCAGCTCCAAGAGAGTGAAAATATTGATGAAGACCCGCTGATGTAACCTACAAGGTTTTCAAATTAGCAATTAAGGCAGACCGCACCATAAGAAATAGCGTTTTTTGGCTTGAAGGATGTTTGGACTTGAACAATGAAGATAACTACGAAAATTGAGATTCTCTATCCAGAATACTCACTTCTGGAGCAAGATTCCCAACATAAACGGTTGTATACTGAGCATTGTTTTCAGGAGCATCTTCACTGGTCTGGTCTTGACCATCTTCTGCACAATGTAATTGTAAACACCTTGTTAAGCTCTATGTGCTTTTTCATACATAAGAATGGCCAACAAAGTACTCATCAATCATAGTTGAAGTTAGCTGATCTTCCAACCCCCCCCCCCCCCCCCCCACACCCCCACCCCCAAGCGCGTAAACACAAAACTGAACCGTTACATAAAAAAATCAAAGAGAAACTCAAAATATCAGAACGCACATGACGTAGACACAATATTCCAATCATCATCCCAATTACGGTGAAATCATGCCCCACCTGATGTTCCATTTGTAAGTTCCACTACACTTTTTGCATCAGAGCTCTGCTTGTCATCCCCATTAGTAGCACCTTTTGCAGCCCAGTTGCAGCGGATTTGTCTACTTCCAAGCCACTTCCCTAAAGATTCACCCATTAAACAGAGATAAGAGCAAGTTAAAGAGGGAAAAAAAGCGGAAGATAAGACCCGAATGAACAATATTCATCAAAATACTGCAAGCAACTTACTTAACACAGGACTGGAAAAGGAAATTAAAGCTCAAGAATCTTCATAACAATTGAAATCCTAAATGATGCACAAGGTTCTACTATATTCTTACAATGAAACAGGTTCAACCATGCAACACTGGCAGAAAGCTTCTAATATGCTCTATATGAGAAGAAAGCCATACAAATAAAATATAACCCCCTCCACTAAGAAACTCAAAAGTAAAAAAAGGAACAGAAAATAGTTGGAAGAGCATCAAATTCAGCACTATTGACCAAAACATAACAAAAACATTATTTATGAATAAGAAGCATCCTCACCGTTCAAATCATTAATAGCACTCTGGGCTTCCTGGAATACAAGTATCAGAATAAACGAGTTAGGTTATATACATCAGGAGTTCAAAAAATTATGCCCGCGAAAAAAGAAGTATCAAAGTAAGAACCATCAGATTACCTGTTGACTACGGAAAGAGACAAACCCAAAACCCCTCGAACGACCAGTCTTCTGATCCCACATTACCCTGGCATCACTGTGACAAAATGCCAAAGATAAGACAAGGTCACTTACAATTAACAAAATCAAAGAATGAAGATTGCGGGTCAAAAACTTACGAGATACTAGGATAGACAGAGAAGCAAGCAAACAACGTAGCATCTGTAACCTCTGGGCTAAGATCACCAACAAATATGTTGAAGTGGTCTACAAAAAAAATACAAACGGAATACAAATAAGTAAGAAGAAGAAGATATTGTAATTCAAATTTCTAGCTAGTAACATAGAGATCAATTACTTGTTGTGTCCTCCCTCTGCGCATTGGCATATGCCCAGTTAACTTTTATAGGCTGTCCAAACCTGTAATCTAAATGTCAGGTACAGTATGTTGTAATTTGTAATGCTCAATAAGGTAAAACACTTACAACTGTCGCCCGTTAAGAGTCACAATGGCAAGGGCAGCAGATCTCCTATCAAAATAATCCACAAATCCATACGACGACTGCGCAAAGCAACAAGAAAAAGCCACTATCACTATCACCAAAAATAATAATTTTCGAAAACAGATTTTCCCAGAAAAGGCTCTTACGTTATACAGAGAATTATCATTTTAATACATATTAATAATGTTGGGTAGAAAACAAGGATTTAAAGCTCAATAAAGTGGGTATGACGCAAGAAGAAATGGTTGTTTCCAAAACAGGGGCCATTCCTGACACTATTATTGTGTCCTAGTGCCTATTAACTTTAAGTTTCAAAAATGCTATTGATATAATCTAAGATGAGTATTAAAAAATGTTGAATTTTATGCATCAAAGTTGCAAAGTAAGGGACAGACAGCTCTCCAAATGACAAGAGGTGATACAGAAAAATATGTTAACAGAAAAAAAGAAAAATTTTATTGCAGAAATTTCAAAAGAGTAATAACATGCCTTCCCATACAAATCATTAAAACATTTTTATACAAACCTTTTCCTTTCTGATGAGTTTACAACCTTCAAGAGGGCCAGTGCTTGAGAAAACCTCCTGAAGAAGCGGCTCAGTCACTTGAGGGTGGATGTTCCCGACATACCTACATTACCACAGAATAACCATATTAATTGGACTACAAACACGGATTTTCCTGGATAGTCGTATAACTTCATGTTTAATCAGTACAAAAGAGAACGAAACGAGGTGATAAAGAGGAATTTCAACAATTGTAGCAAAAACACTTCAATTTTACAGCAAAGTATCTGAATTAAGTTCCAACAATCATTCAACGCAACAGGATATCAAAACATAATAAGTTGCCATTCTCCGACAAAGAAGAGAACTAAAACACAAAGAAGACTGTGTATTTGATGACAACAGAAAACAAAGCAGATAAATAAAACTTTTGCAAGGCACTCACACACTGCGGCATGTACTTGAATCAAATCCAGGAGGTAGATTTCCACTCAATATGGGCTCTATCTGCAGATTAGAACAAAATTGTAAGGAAACGACGGGAAGGAAAAAATAAAAAGGTCCATTTCTTAAAATACAGGAAGAGAAAACAAATCACAGGAAAGGGCCAGGTTCTTCAGGAAACAAACAGTCTGGAGACACCTTTGAGTACAGCAGTAACGAATGAACTGTCAAGGGTTAATTCATCACAAGTTATAAAGGTGACTCTATGGCCAAAAACTTACAGCCTGATACAGGGGGCAGGCACGCAACACTGTTCTACTACAATGTACCCAAGGATTCTACTAATTTACTTGGCAATTGAACTCCTAAAGTTCAATCATGTGAGGTTTGATAAATTTTAGTTACTAATGCATAAACCTTTCGAGCAAAAAAAAAAATTAAAAAAAAATAAAAAGAACATAAAGTTGTCAACTTTTCCCAAAATTATATCTAGGACTGGAATCAGAAGAACCCAGAAGTCTGAAATTGAACATATTTCTAGCTTGAAGAGCTTAATTCCATTTCCACACATAGAAGTAATCAATTTGTTTCTTTTATGCAAATCTTCCTCCCCATTTGACCTACAGATTACAGAGAATGCAGTGGAGAATTTACCCTAACTAAAAACCATGAAACTGGTAAAAATCGCCCCCCAAAAAAAAAATTGAAAATTACCTGAGGAGCAGCTAGAAGACCAGGATGATAAAGTGCAGGTTGCATCATAGCTTGTTGCTGTTGCTGCTTAAATCTCTGTTGCATCTCCTACTTTTCACCACTAATGTTTGGTAATATTGCAATCGGGGAAAGAAATACAGAAAATTTATCAAGGGTTTCGAAAACTTGAAAGGTTTGAAACTGCAAAATCAAATTAAAATTACAACCGAAATAGGGAAAAACAAAGGAGAAAAAAAAAACAAAAACAAAAACAAAAAAAAAGAAGAAGAAAAAAAAGAAAAAAAAAAAAGAAAAGAAAAAAGAAACCCTTGAAGAAAGATACAGAGGGAAGAAAGGCCGAAGAAGAGATGATGTTCTGCTGATTACGTTGCACGCTCAGCCTGGACCCTTTTATTTCATCACTGTGGAGGAGGGATCCACTACAACTCCCCCTCACCATTTTGATGGTGCAATCGATTTTCCTTGACCGTCGGATGTTGGGCCTTTTTTTTCGTTTCAGATTTGGGCTTGGGCTGTTCTATTAAAAGGACGCCAATTGTTCATTCCAGTATTCCACCAAACTCTTTTCTTCCATTTGACGAGTAAGAGGGGAAAAGAAAAAATTCAAAGATCATCATTCATCATACACTCGCTCCGTCTCATTTTAACAGTCTACTTGTGTTGTTGCTTTGTTCCAATTCAACACAGTGGCATATTAAAATCAGACGGAGGGAGCATTCGCTATCTAACTAAATACATCTAAAACTCATTTTAAAGAAGAAGATAGGCAGACAAGTAGCTTTCTTCAACTAATGGAAGTGTATTAGATAACCGTGTATATAATGAGGCCGTAGGTACAAGCATATTCGGAGAAACAATACAATTATTTTGGGATGAAAAGAGTAAGTAACTTACTCATTTGAAGTCAATCACTGCCCAAAAACATATAGCCATACCCCCCCACCCCCCCAAAAAAGAAAAAAATTAAAGCCCAGAAAGTGGAAACCTCATCTGACCTTTTAAACAGTGAGATTTTTTTGAAATTTTCATCAACCAACGAATTTGCTGATTCCGGAGCCTGCTTTATTTTTGGGCTAAACATAAAGGGCGAGAACCAGCGGCCCAGACCAAGGTCCAGATGGTGGATCCAATAGAAACTTGGAAAATGCGTGATAAGTTGTACCCAGCTCTGAACATTTTGAAATGAAGGCCACATAACTATATTTTAGAAAATTGAGATGTCATTTGGATTGGAATATTCCGCACCATTATTTTGGGGAGGGTTAATTAACTGGGGATATCGGTTTTACCCTATTATCTCATGTAGGTTTTTCTTCCATTGATCTACTACTTTTGTGTTACCTTTTTTAAGTAGTACTGTAGTTGCTTCATTTCCTTTTGCGAGCACAACTTAATTTTATATTCTTTTGTTTCAAAATTAAAACACGAATGTGTATAAATTATTTCAGTATAACAAATTGGATCTTTTTTCTGGAAGACGGAGAAAGTTTTCAATTTGATAGTAAATGACAAGCAGCAATAATTGATAATCCTTCTAAATATACGCGTACTGATAATATTCTTGCCTTGCTACAATCTTATATATGCCTTCCTTCTGTTTGAGCATGAATTCCATATTTAAATGGGGAATTGAAATGTATAAACTTCTTGCATGGCTTATGAGTTATGATGACTAATCATAGAATGTCACTTTCATACTACCACCCAACAGGCCAACACATCCATAATCGTTTTCGGATTTACAATTTAAGAAACAACTAGAATCACACAGTTACACACAAAAATATTTGGATTTTTTTTTCTTATTTGCCAAAAATGGGCAAGACTAGAAGAATCTTTTTATGGGTATGGGCCAAATTTTGACATCTTGTACAGCCAAAACAAACGTAATAAAAACCTCTAGTCCAAAAATGTCACATTAGCGATTAGCCCTCGTGCCAAAATGATCTTCTGGACAATGGCAGTGTCATTATTAAGAAGATAGCATTTCTATTAACTTAACCCTAGTAGCTAAAGGGAATGAACAATCGGCCCTAGCTAAAATACTACACTGTCTTTAGGGTTTGGGTGGAAGAATATACTTTTGTGTTCACTTTCAAAATCAATGAAGTAGGTTACGAAAATTGATCAACCGAATTAAGTAAATCAAATTACAACAGAATTTTAAAGTATCAAAAGTTCGAATAAAAACACGTATAGAGTCTTCCCAAGTTGATTCCTCTATGAATTGACGTACGTAATTAAGAATGCTGTAATGGTAGAAACCACTAGTTGAGAACGATATTAATAAATCTCCTTAATGTCTGATGGAAAGGTGTAAAGGAAGAGAAATTATAGCATATGATACTGTATCTACTTTTTTAGTATAGCAAGACGTCCATCATATAACAAAATATCACGACACCCATAAATTGTCTTGGTAACTTTCTTTGAAAATTTTCCGTTCTTTTATCACTGTTTAGATAATCTTATGTGGTATAATGGGTATATAATAGATTTTCTCGTGGAGAAAGCAAGCATGCTTGTGGTGGATGTTATATTAACATCCATAGATAGGGGCCTCGGCGGAAATTACAAACACGACTTAACGTGACCCCATTTGCGAAATAAATTTTTTTGCATTTTTAATGCGACGCCTGTGTTTGTTTGACTGGTTGTGTTTGACCTTCTCCGTCGGGGGACCAGCAGATGGAGTCGGCGTACAATGTGGCATTATAATCAATTTCATTATAGTTTCATAGTATTGTAATCTAGAACTAATAATGAAGGGTACAGTTTACTTACCAATTGGGTTTTAATTGTTAATAATAGACCATGTGAATGTAGGTGACATAGTATTTGGCTAAAGGCCTATTATCGACTAGGTGTTGGTATCCTATCTTTTCTTTTGGTGGTGGTGGGGATCTCTTCTCTCGTCAATCTCTTTCTTTCTTTTTCAAATTTTCTAATACTATTACCACCGTTCCTCTTCTTGTTTTTAAGGAAGCGCATTCCGTGTATCGTTTTTCAAAACCGCGTGCTCTTTTCAACCATCATCCTCACCCATGGAAAAATAATGCATGTGGCCGGATTTGTTGCTTAAAGAAAAAAGAAGTGTAACACTGAAAAGATGCCTAGTACCAACAATCACTTGCTTCAGATAATTCGATATTTAACTAGTTAAATTATGATCAGAATTCAAATTCTTAAATATAAAGCAGTAATTATAACACTTGTTCAGAGAGCAAAGATATTCAGCGTTTTCTCTTTAATAATAAAATCTACCCGACTCGAATATGAATCAATTAAGTTAATCAACTCCAACACAACACCAAGTGCATTATACAATGAAAAAAATACGGTGAAAGGGATGGTGAAGGCGATAATTGTTTTTTGTTGTGCAAGAAGCCAAATGGGCAACGCGTAGTCGGGTAGTTTATTTGAAAAAGATACTAGTTTATTAGGAAAGATACCAATTCATTATTCTTCTTTCCGTGCCCACTTGTTCAGACCTTCAAAAGTGGGGACTTTTAACAAAGAAGAAGAAGAAAGAAGAAACGTGCGAAAATTTTTATAATGGGAAGTGGTCCGCGTTGTGGTGTGGTACGTAGTAGATGATGATAATGAAATGAAATCGAACCCAACAAAACAAGCAAAAGGACAGTCGTGCTTCAAGCAACATGGCCAATCAAAATCTTAACCCTTAATTTAAAAACATCCATCATCCTGTGATCCATCCCCCGGAATGGTCCAAGTTGTCCAACCACCTCCTCCTTTCCACATATCTGACCTTTCCCTATTATGTGTGTGTTTTTTTAGGTCCTTATCTTTCTTCTTCAATTTTCTTCAATTTTCTTCCATCTCAAACATCATTCATAATTGCTGGTGTTTCTAACAACCCAACATGATTATGACATTAATTTCAAATTCAGTCAACCCACAAAACCCAAAGATTCTTGTGAAAGAACTTCCATCTACAAACAAATGACTGAATCAAAAGAGTGATTCATAAAACCATGAACCAGATCTTAGGAAAAAAAAAAAAACAACAAAAGAAGATAATAAGAGTACCCTCTCTCTAATTTCTTTTACTTACACAAAGAACTAATAAGAACAATATAAAGGATATTTATATAGAGTCAGATCTAACGCTCTCTTGCTATAACAGAACTCTACTGATAAGTCACGCACCTTTAAATTAAACTACTACTGCTACTTCAAACTACTTGCTCATCATCATTCATATCATCATATACGAAAATGCTTAAAAAACCCAGTCAGTTTTATAAGCCAAAACTCTTGAGAGAATCAATGGCGCTCCATTTGAGCTGGATATTGAGCACCAAAACCCATCCATGCGGCCTTGCTTTCCTCTGCCTTAGAAGAGGCAGCTCCCACTGGGTATGGAGCTTTCGCAGTGATCCTGTAATAATGGAATAAAATCAACACAAGTTTAACCCACAAACGAAGTTACTGTTCATATAATATAAACATCAAAGAATAAAGAAATTTTTCTTTTTTCTCAAACTCTCCAAATTTCCATATATGGGGATACAATTTCCTTCTGTTTATTCCCACACCTTTTCTCGTGTACAAAGAAAACCATGTTCCCCAACCCCACACGCTCAAGAAAAAACACACAATCTATATACTCTATAACAAAACATCACTCTATCCAAAAACTCTTAACAAACATGCGTATACTATACAAATATGATGATTTCAGTATCAAACGCCTACCTATCTTTGCGTTTCTCCAGGAACCTTGTGAGAGAAGCCTTCCTTGCAATGGGCAAATCTGAAATCAGGATAAACAAAAAAACACCTCATAAGAACATAAGCCAAAAACATCAAGCAGCCCACAAGTTTAAAAGATAGGGTTTAAGAATAAATGAAGTTACCATTAACGCTGCTGGGTTGGAGGGGTCGTCTTGAAGCAATAGTCTCAGGGCCAAAACTGGGTTGGATAAAGCTGGAAGCAGGGGAAACCGAATGGGCAACAGCAGGAGGAGAAACAGTGGGCCTTGGGACCATGTTGGTGGTGGTGAAAGTGTTGACAGAATTCAGGGAGCTAATTCCCTTGCTGGCCATAAGCATGATTTCCTTGGCCTTCTCCGCCGGAAAATCATTAAACACTATGACTTGTCCGCCGTAGAAGATTGTCATTGGAGCTGTAGTTTCCGGTTCGGTCTTCACCAAACTGTCACATCAAATCAAATCAAATGAAATGCCCATTCAAAAACTAGCAAAAGGGTAAACTGGAAATTTCAAGTACGGAATCAGAGTGACCCACCTCAAGTCAGCCTTCTTTTGTGCCTCTTCTTTAGGAAAAGCAGAGCCGAAACCGGCTTGCTGAGGGAACAGATTCGCCGGCATAGCCGGAATCTTCCTACCGGCCGCCGGAACCGGAGCCTCGGGGCTGTTTCTCTCAATCATGGGCAGTAAATTCATAGTCTTAGCCGGAACACCTAAAACCAAAAAAATTAAGGAAAGATGTAAGAAACAATAAATGAGCCCCGGAAATCAGAAACAGAAAACGATGAATGATTCTTGGGTTTTAAATGCTGTTTTTGGTTCCGATTCGTAAATGACAGTAATAAACGCCCAAAGAAACTGCCATAATTAACCAAGAAAACTTAAAAAAAAAAAAAAAGGAAATAAGAATATAAAAGATCTCGACAAGAGATTTCAAGCAAGACCGAAAAGAATAAGTACCATCATTAGTAGTATTAGGGTCGAAACTCCGGTTAAGACCGAGGCTGAGATCTCCGAGATTGCCCTTTTTTTCCTTCAAGTATTGACTGAGCAGACTGCAAGTCTGAGCAAAAGTTGACTTCTGGCCGCCACCTGAACCCATCCTCCCGGAATCAATCATTTCCGATGAAGCCATAAATTTTCCGGGCGTAGAAATAAAACAAGAAATCCACAACAGAAAAAGAAAAAACTCTTGTTTGCGTTTCGGAATTGAAGAATTGAACACTTTGGCTGGTGATCGAATATGAATATGAATGGAAGGAGAGGAGGAGAAGATTGAATATAAAGAGAAGGGGAATTGGGGATTGTGGGCTTTTTATGTGATTGCGTGTATTTTGTGAAGGGTTGCAGTGGTTAGGCTTCTTTTTTACTATTAATTATTATTTTATTTGGGTTATGATGGAAAATGCCCACGTTGAATATGTGGGAGAATAGTGGTACGGTTTGTATTGTTGTCGACTAGTACTACTGTTTTTCTTTTATTTTTTTTTTTTATTATTTTTAAACTTTGTTAAATTTTAGTGGGTCCACTGTCTCTTTCTTTTTTTTTTTTTTTTTTCCGGGGGTTGCTTTTATCAACTCCAACAACAATTTATTTTCACCACGTGTTATTTGCGTCTCTCTACTGAAGCGGTGTTAGTTGCGTGTCCTTGAGTTCCCGTCGGATCTCCTTTCCAGCTTTTCTGCTATTCTTCTGCCGTTCTCCACATTATTTTCTGCTTTCTTTTTTTTTTTTTTCCCTATCATCTGTGCTTTTTTAGGGTGCGTTTGTTTTGTTTTTTTAGTATATGTTTTTAGGTATTTTTTGTATTGAAAATATAAAAAACTGTATTAAAAATATAAAGAAATATGCTGGGATGGGATAATTATTAATATTTTAATTTAAAAATACCATAAAAAAATAAAACAAACAAAGCCTTAGTTTGTAACGTTTTGAAACGTATATATTTTTCAGACCTACATGTATTTCTTTAATTTACTAACAATGTTGTCCATGTGATATGCCAAATTGCTAATGGTAAGAGTTACGTGACTAATGCAATTTTTTAGAACTAATTAGTCATATTAATCATTCTTTGAGAATCCAATTACATAGCTCCACTACAATGTTAATTTGTTCCCGGGTTTAATCGAGTTTTATTTTTTATTTTTGTCGTATTTAATTATTCGGAGTGCTTGCTGATCCTTCAACCTTCGTTATAGAATATTTTTTTAATGATATACTATAGGTTACATTGTTATATGACAATATGGTTTAATTTTTGCCTACTAACTTTGAAAACCCGTATACAACTTTCATTTAGATCTTGATGTCTTGAAATCCTTGTTATGCTGTACTACTAAGAAACTCATTTTCATGAAACGTGAAAACACACTTCTTGCAATCTCTTTTTGAAAAAAAAAAAAAAAAGATCCTTTTTTAGTGACCGAGAAAAAATGATAAAATGAAAGAATTTAAAATCAAATTTAAAACTCTTTTCACTAAAATAATGATGAACACTATTTTTATTTTAGGAGGGATGGTTTCTTTCATAATAATATAATAATAATTATCCCGTCTCAGCATAATTTTTTATATTTTCAATACATATTTTTACATTTCTAATACAAAAAACACCTTAAAACACACATTAAGTAATCAAATACTGCTAGCTAGCTTGGTGCATTAAAAAGGTTTGCCGCTCATTGGAATCAATGCTTGGATAAAGTCAAATGGAACCAGCCAGTTAGCAATTTTGATTCCCCTCCATAGATTAAGTTGAATTTAATACGGAAATTTATCACATGGGTTTATAAAATTAAAGCATGATTACAGCAAAGCTGTTGATTCATCTAACCAGAACAACTTCGTAAAGACCGGCTCTAGTTAGACTTTTAGAAAGCAGAAAACAATGACTAATAGTACTATAATAAAGACATTTGAGTCGTAGACCACTTAATTTGCACGAGCTTTATTTATTTATTTTTTAAATTATTATCTTTATATAGTTTTTTTCCTTCAAATTCCGTGCCGAACTTGATACCGCTTCGGCCAAAAAAAAAAAAAGAAGAAGGAAAACAAAATATTAAGACGGGCACGGATACGGGTACGGGTGGGTTGAAATGGTCGCTTCGCCTGGGAGGATTTTCTGTTTCTGTAATCTAAAACAAATGCTATAAAAACGCACGTCCATAGCACCAACCGTATGACGACACGTAGAATGAGTGACGGTGACAGACTGTCTATAGCATGCGAAGATGCACTGCATCAGGGAACACGTGGCTCGATTTAAGCTGTTTGATGAACCAAATGTAAAGAGTTTTTTTTTAATCACGTGGTTGTGACGTTCGAGGTAGAAAAGGCTTAAATTCAGGATTTAGGGGATAAAAATAAAAATTTATTGCAACATTGTGATAAGTGGCGTTTAAGAAGATGTCAAGAGATGTGTATGTATGTATCCAGAAGTTTACTAATAAAAGCACAATTGAAGGCATCATCCTCGTTCATGTACATGGTACACAGGTACACTTCTGTACGTAACAAAAGTAGATAACAGAAAATTATGTAACAAATAATTATCATATATATTCTTTTATTTTTAACAAAAACATAAGAAAAAGAAGAATTATTTTGAGACAGAGAAAATATTAATAAAAGATACATGGCTGATTGTTGTGGTACTAGGAAATTTTTGTTTCTGTAAAAGAAAAAAATTGACCTTTTGGTTATAATAACCTACACTTAGAACTTCAGTTCATCATCCCACTCAGACAATAACTTTTTTATTTACCCTTCCAAAAGTAAACCGCAAAAAACGAAAATTTCAGGGGGGAAATTGAAAACCATAGAAATTCTTTTTGTTGTGGTTTTTAACTTTTAGAATGCTTTAACTGTGCGATGGTCCGTGGTGACATACACATGTTTATTTTTTTTGGTGGCATACGCATTATGACTTCATTAGTTAGTGTCAACCACGATTCATTTGTTTATTTTCATGTGTTACTTTTACTTTTGAAAATGCAAAATGGTCATCCTTTTTTTTTTGTGAATTTATTATAAAGGTACATGTTTGCGCTCTCAAAATTAACCCTTCGACATGGAATAATTACATTTAGTCTAGTCACCCTCAGACCTGCAAGAACGATAACTTGTGAAAACAGTGTCTGTGAAGGTTACAAACGTCTATCAAATTTACATTAAGCGCTACCAAGTTATTTATATTTCGTTGCATTACACCTAATCAAGGCGCAAACTTTCTCTCCAAAGTTCAATCTATTATTCTTTTCTAAAAAAAAAAAAACCATAATAAAAAACAAAATAGGAACACTTATACCAAAAAAAATTATAAGAGAAAGACTGTACAAAATTTTTAGCTGATTTTACTTTGTTTTCTGAAAATGATGTTAGTTTAACAATTAACAGAAAGAATTAACGGCGTGAAGATGAATAGTTGTGGTTGGGGAATAGTGAGAGAGACTTGACAGGTGAGCTATGAAATTGTGTATTCGTACTATCAAAAAAGGAAAAGGAAAAAGAACCAAAAAAAAAACGGAAGCAGAAATGGTAGGAGTGGGGACCAGGACGTCACGGATTAAGACTGACGGAAGTTAAGAGAGAGAGGGTACTAAAATCAACCACGTGATGTTCATGTTAGCATTTGGGGAAGAGATCCCCGGTAGTTGTAGTAGTAGTACTTGCTACTTTTGGAACAGTAGTTCGAACTGTACTTTTCTCGCACTTCTTGAGTTTTAGTGGAAACGAAGGGATGTAATAAATGGGATTTGATGCGTGAAGATTGAGGCGCCCCCGCCAAAATAAAGTCAATATATATATATATATATATATATATATTCATTTATGAAATACTATCTTCTTGTTCTTTTTTTGTTTTTTTTCCAGCTGAAGCCCAAGTTGATGAATTTACGCTAGCTGGCTGTATGAGTAGTCGGCAAGTAGCATCCCCTCGTTTATCATGTCCCCCCTTTTTAATCAAGTATACTCGTCACCTCAACTTCCCAAAAATAGTTTTGCTACTTTTGTAATGAAAGGGTTCATTCTGGTCGAATGAAAATTAATTTGAACATCGTATGTATCACTCCAAACCAGTGGCGGAGCTAGGGGAACGAGGCACGGTCACACCTGCTCAATTTTTTGTACCTAGTAGAATATTCTAAATTTTCAATAAAGATTATGTGTTAAATAATTTTTCGCACCTCATACATTAATTTTTTAGTATTATTAGTAGTTTTTTCTAAATTTCGTACCCCCAATATTGATTTCCTGGCTCCGCCACTGCTCCAAACAATTGACGTATTGAATGGAGCATAAATTTTTTCTTTATTATTTGATTTATTTTCTCTCTTTTCCTTCGAGACAAAAGAAGTATATGTAGATCAAAATAAATCAAGTTATAAAATATATTGATACATTTTAGATCGTACTATATCCAATTAAATACGTAGATAAGATTCTTTATATCTTGATTCCCAGGCCCGTTCAAATTATCAATATACTGGATTTGTTAATAATTGTACAAAAGTAGTGTAGAACTTAATCAGCGAAAGCGAACGTTGAATGTGGTTCGTTGCTCCTGCCGATGTCTCTATTTGTTGTGTTTCCCTTGTTTAAACTCAAATGTGTTTCATAAAGTTGAACCATTTTTGTAATGTTGGTAATCAACTAGAGATAGATGAATTGCAATATCTTACAAGTTACAGTAATAGATATTTCTAAGTTCAAAATGACATATTATTATAGTATAAAATGAAAAGTATCGCAAGATAGGTTCATCCTAATAATCGTTATGCAGATGCTTAAACCCCATAACATATGATTTATGTAGTTGACTAACATACTACTCCACAAAGCTGCAATTGCTGAACAAATTAGAAGATATTTCTAGCCTCAAGGAACTCGTGCCCCCCGCCCCCCCCCAAAAAAATGACACAAATAAAGAAGACTGAAAATTTCAAATCGAAAAAGGAGGAAGATATTTATTGGGGTACTTATAGCCTCATGGAAATCATGCTGGTTAGATTAGGTGGAAGTGGAATGATGTTTAAAAAACATGATGATCTACTACCCTCTGCAACCCAAAAACTGCATAGGATTTGGTTTTAAAACTTTATAGACACACAATATTGAAATGTGTCGGC